TTTTTTGAATTCAACTCATCAGGAGACGTCTTTGCGCAGAATTTGCTTTATATTGATGTTCCAAGACATTATTCATTCGACAAAAAGCAGAAAAATGGGTTAAAAGAAAGCGGCGCATCAAGAGCCAGAACTGTGTTAAAGGGATAGGCAGAATGTACTTCGTGACTCCAAGTGCTGCTAATATGGAGAAATATTGCATGCGTCTACTTTTATTGTATAATGTTCGTGGCCCTCAAATCTTAGACTATTTAAAAAAACGTCAATGGTGTTCAATATGCCACATTTCGTGAAACTGCTCAATCCATGGGACTTTTAGCAAACGAGGATGAATGGCATTTTTGTCTGGATGAAGGATATGCGGTGATAAGAACTGGATCCTCTCAAGTGCGAGATTTATTTGCAACCATTCTGATATTTTGCACTATCTTCACCTATAAACAGCTATGAGATAATCACAAGGTTCAACTGTCTGAAGATTTTATTTATCGGATTCAACAATCTCAAGCTGTTCCAGAAGAATTGGCTGATGCTCAACTTGAAGAACGTTGCTATCATAAGGTATTGAGTGACATTAGCAGAAAATTAGTGACGCATGGAAAACCAGTCAAAAACCATTCAAAACTGTCCCGAACCGATCAATCAGTTTTCAGTCAAGAAAGTGGAGAGCACCGATCATTATTTGATCAAGAGGTAGCTAGAGGTATAATTTGAAGGCTGTGGAATTTGAGGCTTTTAGAAGTCTAAATTCACAGAAAAAAAAGAATATAAGAACAATAGAGTGAACTTGATAAAGGTAGGTTTATTATAATACTGACCGGTGCAATGTAAACTGAAGTATCTCTACTGGCCAGGTAGATAATCCTTTATATATATTATAACAACGTATAAAAATTCTACTAATTAAGGTGGTCAAATAAGTCAACTTAGATCAACTAATGTATAAGCATGCTAAAAGACAACTCCAGCAAGCTAAGCATAATTTAGCTTTGCGTGGATGAATATTTACGGTAGATTCTCATCCGAAGTACCCTGATCTATCCTTCATATAAGGATAGTAGTTAATATCAATCTAATAGCATATATCCGATAGGTACAGTTTACTTAGTCTATATCGATAATACACATCTGAGTGTATATTGCTAAGTATACATATTTAACATAACTGGACATATGGTATGTCTATAGCATATCTCATATACAGTACATGCCTGTAGTACATAAAGTATCTGTAGCTAGTATTACTAATACAATCATGTGTCTTGTAGTGTGACCCATAAAGTAAACATCTTGAGCAACAAAAAGCTCATATTGCATTACTTTTGGTGCTTATCCAAATATGGCAAACATTCGTAGCCAACGTCGGAATACAAGTATAAGTCTATAGCGCCATCCATGTCCGTGGTGCCATCTATAGCCTATATCTTATATAGTATAGATCTTATAGTAGTACTAGCGTATCTGAGGCTCATATATATCTTATAGTATAAATCCGTATAGTGCATCTAATCAAGTGCACACACAGTTTATATCTAAATCTGGCAACTGGATGAACTGTCGGAATGCAGATCAGAGTGGATGTATCCCACACAAAATATAAACGTGGTCTATCAAGGAATTTATTCTTTAAAAATGTTGTTTTTCATTTAATGATGTTTCTAACATTTTGGCTTTATCCATTCGCGATATTAGCTAATGACCCGCGTCAGCGCGAGCCGCCTGAAAGAGGGTTGGTTCCCGCTGAAGCAAAGCATAGGTCAGGTTACCACCCGCAGTGTCAGAAGGCTCGTATTATACAGTAAGTATTATCCAAGGTTTAAGGACCTGCAATAGTAGCATCAAACAAGTCTATTCCTAGTACATTTGTCTTCCTTTACTTTAAGACCATTGGTCTCCATTGCAAATGGAAATATAAGATGCATTCCAATTGAGGCATTAAGAGGAGGTATCTTTCTGGTTTATTTTCTGTAAAAAGAAAAAATTTTCATGAAGATGCAGAAATTCTCTTTACTATCTTCGTTTTTGACCTCAGCCCTGAGGGAAAAATCCTAGTTTTTCTAATTTTACTGAATACAGAAGCAATAAACGAACCAATAAATTATACAATTCAATGCGACTACTTGAGGGCTGCAATATTGATTTAGTGGGTTAATACTGTTTACTTGCTAGTTCTTGCGATAATATGAAAGAAGTAAACATTTGAGGCACTGAAATGCCATACATAAGTTCAGATTAAGACACGTTTGAATGTCCGACTAAATGGGATCTAGCTGGATCCACTTCCCATTTATGCTTGATTTCGTCATATTTGTATAAGAGAAGAGCAAAACCGAAAATGCTTTGCAATTGAGGCATTAAAAAGCACCTCTTGGTTATTTTCAGGTTCAAAAAATAACCTTTTTTTTGAGATATGCTAATTCTCTATTTGACCACAATTTTTCGACCTTATCCTCGGAAGAGTTTTCTAGTTTTAGACGTTTTATTAATGAAGATGGAAACAACAAAACATTTAGTGAATTATACTCACCAATAAGTGTAATTGACTGTTACGTATTTACTAAATGAACTAGTATAGTTTCCTTGACGATTCTCAAGATAATGAGGGTTAAGTAAAGTTTTGGGAGTCTTAAAATGCCATTTCAAGCTAAAGCTTAAGGCCTGTTTGAATGTCCGACTAAAGGTGGTCTAGTAGCTGACTAGCCGTATTTTTCTTAACTGATTTCTCTATATTCCAGTTATTATAAAAAATTGAAAAAAAAATTTAAAAGGAGGCATTAAAATACAACTATTAACGCAAAAAGCTGCTTGAAAAAGCTTCGTTTTTCAGTAAAGTAAATCATTTTAATTTTTAGCACACGAACGCACGGGTTAGAAAATTAAGGGCGTAGCCCTCTGTGGTTGTGGTGGATTTAAAAAAAGAAGGGCTCTTGTGAGGAGCGTCTATCCTGTAGAATGTTAAACATAATTGTATAGACGAAATAGAAATATATTATTAATTCAAGGTCACCATAATTGAAACAGTTAATGCATGTATAGACAGGTAGGAGTAGTATGCTATCATGATTCGAAATGCTGTTGTTGTGTACAACAAAATGCCTACTTTGTTAACTCTTGTTTTCAAGAACAAAAAAAGGACGATACAACATCTCAACGTTTTTGGCGCAACAGAATGCTGCATCAGCGGTAACGCTTATACATCGCTTTTCAAAAGTTTTTATTTTTGCCAAATTTGAACGACGATATCTCAGCAACGAAGATACATCCATCTTGCATCCAAGCATATTTAGATACATCCATTTTAGCTCTACAACATATCTTGATTTCAGGTCGATTTAGCAATTTTTCGACGAATTCAACATTTTCACTTTTTTTTTTTTTTTTACAAAGGTCAACAAAAGTTACACGCCAGTTATAGGTTACACTCTATGTCAGCCAATTCTGAAATGACGGGCTGAACGTGCATCTCGTAGTTCTACCATGAGGTTCTATCAGCCATCCAAGAGGCGTTCGGTGGAGGCCGCGGCTTCTTCTTACCCTTTGGTGGGTTCTGTGATGATCGAGGATGATGATTTGAAGGGTCAAATCTTAGCTAGTAAGGCAATGGCGATTGTGTAGCAGGCACTTACTTCTGGTTCGGTTCTCTTTTCTTTTCGTAAGGGTTTGTTTGGTGATCGTGTGAATGCATACAAGGTAATTCAAACCCAGGTGTCTTCTTTGGTGGAATTTCGTCCTTTAAGTGTCTACGATGAAAAGAACGATGGTTCTTTGCTTATTGAAGCCAAGTTCGAGGAGGTGGATAATGCGAACAAGGCTACGACAACTGGTGTTAACGTGAATGGCATGGTGTACAAGGCTGTTCACGCCAAGGAATGCAAGGAGTTTGGTGATTTGAAGTTTGTCCAGTTTACTTTGATACGCATCGTCAAAGAACCCACCTTTTTGCATGATTTGATCAAGTCTTTGTCGTTTTATGGTCGTGTCCTGCAGGTGAAGAAGTTCACTCGTGGTGGTTTCTTTGAGGGCAAGTTTTCGGTGATGGTGGATACCTCGGTGGGATATCAGGTAGAGGGTGGTGAGTGGCAGGAGGCTCAACCTCTAGATAGAATGCTCTATCTCAGCGAGTTTGATTGCTTTGTCGCAGCGACATATAAGGGTGCTCCACCTGTTTGTCATTTCTGTCGTCATAGTGGTCATGTCCGCGCTAAATGTCCTGAGTTGCTCCAGCGTAGATGTTATGGATGTGGAAAGCATGGCCACATGTTGCGTTTTTGTCCTGGTAAGGAGGATCAATCTGGTGCCAAGAAGCAAAAGGTGGATCATCAACTGAAGGATTCGGAGGAGGTCACTGAGGCACGTCGACAGACGGTGCATTTGATGGATTTCGTTGCTAAGGCAAAGCTAGGAGCAGGTAGGGAAGTGGAAGAGAAAGTCGAAGAAGAAGAACTCGAGTCTGCAGTAGACGAAGAGGAAGAATCTCTTCAGGATGTTGTGGATGGTGTTGGCGCGTCTGAAAATGACAAGTCCACTGAAAGTGATAATTTGGAGGTGCAAATGGAGGATCTTCAAGGTGAAGATCATCAGGATAAGTTACACGGAGATGATGCTATGGAAGAAGATAATGAGATCGTGCTTGCTGGTAGTGGTGTCAAGAAGCTTCCTGATGTGCGTGGCTCTGCATTCTCGAAATACGCTTCTAATGAGGTGGCTCTTACTATGAATGTTGACTCTCCAGAGGAGATGATGGGTTTGTCTAAGCTCAAGGAGGCCTCTCAGAGAAAGCGAATGGAATTGAACGCCAATTTGAAGGCTGTGAATGGTGCTGGTGTTGCTTCTGGTACTGGTGTTGGTGCTCTTGGGAACAAGTCTGCTGGTGCTGTTGGTGTCAAGAATAGCAAGAACAATGGCAAATTGCCTCTCAAAACAAAGGAATTTACCCGCAAGGGTCAATGATTAGTACAAAATCAGGCATCAAGATTGGCTCCTTGAACACGCGTAGCTTGTTCATGCAGTCTAATCCTACAAATTTCAAAGAGTTTTCATCTTATCTTCGCTCCTCCTCTCTCCATCTGGATATTCTTTGCTTGCAAGAGGTATCTCATTTCCGCTCTCAATCTACTCTCACTGAATCTCAAGTCCGTTCCTTTTCCTTTGCTTTTCCTAATTGTTCTCTCGTTGTTTCAAAGCATTGTGCTATTATATGTCTCAATTCTCGCTATTCTTTGGTGGATACGGAGGTATTGTTGGACGAATGTTGTCTTGTTGCATCTGTCGTAGATGCCTCAAGCAATGTTTTGTGCAAAGTGGCCAATATTTATGGTCCCGCGCAGTCTTTTGACCGTCCTTCATTTCTCTCTGATTTTCTCTCTCTTTCTGTTTGGTCTGATGTGTTCAACACACCTTGGATGGTTATGGGTGATTTCAACATTCACTTGCACTCTTTGTCTACTTCTCGTCAAGCCGATGTCGCTCCTTTTGTTCACTGGTTGCGTACTCATTTTGTCAATTGTCATCCGGATGGTTTAGCCACGTTTCCAAAGAGCAATACTTGTATTGATTACATCTTTGGTCACTCTTCTCTTGCTCCTCGTTTGACTAATAGTCAGTTACTGTATATGCCTAGTAGGTGGACGGATCACTCTCTTTTGACTGTTGAAATGTTGCCTGCGACAGCTAGTATTAGTCCTGGTAGTTGGCGGTTCAATCCAACCCTGCTTTATGATAAGGAATTTGTTGCGTTGTTGAATGCCACGGCGTCATTGTTCTTCTCTGGTGCTGTTGGTGGTGGGTCTAAGGGTGTCATGGTGATATGCTAATGGAACTTCCAACTCGTGATGTTTTGTTGTCTCTGCTCACTCATGCTCCCAAGTCTAAAAGTCCTGGTCTTGACGGTTTGCCTTTTGAATTGTATCAATATCTTGCTGGTGTTTCTACTGATTTTCTTGACTTGCTTGTGGATGTGTTGGGTGCAGCTTTTTCTGGTGTGTTTCCTCCTTCGTGGCAGCAAACTCGTATGGTGCTTTTGTTCAAGAAGGGTGACCCTCAGTTGTTGGTTAACTGGAGACCTTTGTCCTTAATTAACAGTGATGCCAAGTTATTTACAAAGCTCATTGCTAATCGTATGAACAAAGTGTTGCCAAAGTTAATCAACCCTTATCAAACTGGTTTTCTCCCTCACCGTCTGATCTCTGACAATGGCTGGTTAAATCAGTTGTTGATGTCTCACTTGCGTGTTGTTGCTCCTGATTTACCTCAAGTTGCTGTTTTGTTGGATCAAGAGAAGGCGTATGATCGGGTTCACCCCGAGTATCTTTGTCGTGTGTTGCTCCGGTTTGGTTTTCCTGGTGATTTGGTGTCTTGTCTGTCTTCTTTGTTCTTTGGAACCAAGATTTCAGTGTCTATCAATGGTTGGCTTGGTGCTCCTGTACCTCAATTGCGAGGTCTTCGTCAAGGTGATCCTCTGTCTCCATTGTTGTTCAATCTGGCATTTGAGCCTTTGCTTCGTTCTCTTCTTGCTTGCCCTGGTCTCTCTGGTGTTACTCTGTCTCCTGTTGATATCCCACGTAAATGGAAGCCTTCACCGGTTGAAGTTCGTGTGGATCATGGTACTGGTGCCCGGAATTGGACTTTGGACTTTGTTAGTGGCTCTGTTGCTCCTCCTCCTGTCAAGATTCTGAGCTATGCGGATGATCTTGAGGTGTTTTTGTCTTCGCCGGAAGAGTGGTCTGTGTTGTTGTCTGTTCTTGATCTGTATGGCCGAGCATCTAATGCGAAAGTCAATATCAGCAAGACAGTGTTGGTGTCGTTGTCTGGTGTGTCCCACTCTGCTTGGGTTGCTTTGGCTGATTCTACTGGTCTCCAGTGGCATGACGCTCACTCTCGTGGTGCAGTACGTTACTTGGGTTATCCCCTGTATCATACTGAAAGTCAACTTCAAGACTATCTTGATGGTGTCTTGGTGAAGGTCCAGCCACACAGTAACTTGTTGAAACAAAGAAATCTCTCCATTAGGGGAGCAGGACTAGTGGCTAACTCGTTACTGTTGTCAAAGGCATATCATTTGTTGCGTGTTGTTCCTGGTGGTGGTGTAACTGCGTCGTGGTTGAAGTCGCTCACAAAGGTGGTTCGTGAGTATCTGGTGTCTTTTCGCCCTAGTGTTGCCTGGTCTACTTTGTGTCTTCCTCGCAAATTTGGTGGTGTTGGTCTCGTGGATATAGCAGATCAAAGCTTAGCTTTGCATCTTGTCTATTTGCAACGTTTGTTGCGTCCACCCTCTCCCAGTGATTTTGTCTCCTCATGGTTGGTGTATGCTTTTCAAGTTTACACTGGTCATAAGTCCATCTTGCCGTGGTTTTGTTTTCCTGGTCTTTACCAGTCTCGTGTGTCTTCTGTGCCTGCTCTAACACATCTTGGAAAGCTTCTGTTGAGATTGCCAAAGTTAGTTCCTTCCTCTGGTTGGTCTGCTAGGTGGTTTCTTGATCTTCCCTTGTGTTCTGTACTCAGTACTGTGCCTTCTGTTCGTCCTCCTCGTAATCCATCATCTCTTGATCCTCGTTTCTTGGTGTCGGATGTCTCTTTCTGGCAACCTGATCTAGGTATAGTCGATGGTGTCACCTCTCATCTTGCTTGGTCATCTCGTGTTTTGCGCCCTGTTTTTCTTGCTTTGAACCGTGATCGTGGTCCTGTCTCTCTGGTATTCCCGCCTGTCATGGATAGTAAGATAGTCTTGTCTCAAGCAGACTATTTTACTATGCCCCGTTCTGATAGTGCTATCTCTTGGATGCCAGATTGTTCACATTGGACTGTCTCCAACTCGTCTCGTTCTGCTGCTCCGGTTGCTCGTCTCTCTCTTGGTGCTTTGCGAAGGTATTGGCACCCTGCAAAGGGTACCATTACCTCTCGTATGGGTCCTCCCTTGAAGTTGCCTGCTCATTTGTTGCTGTCTCCTGCTTCATGGCGTCTTTTCTGGTCCCTGGAAATGCCTGCAAAGGCTTTCACACCTTGGTGGCGATTGCTACATGACCGTGTTCCGCACCGTTCGTGGTGCCATAAGATTATGCCTACCAAAGTTCTGTCTCCTGCTTGTGCTCTTTGTGGTTTCTCTACGGAGGACCTCTACCATTTCGTGGTGGGTTGCCATGTCAAGTCACTTTTCTGGCAGGATGTAGTCTCTTTGCTGTCACTTCAAGAGCTACTCCCCTCTGCTTCTTCTATTTGGTTGGCGCTGACTACGTTTTGTAGTGGTTCAGATTTGTTGGTGATCGATGAGGATGTTCTGATTGCTCTTGGTACTGCTTACAGTACACTTTGGAAGTATCATTGGCGATGCGTCATAGACGAGGAGCCTTGGATAGCTTCTGCTGCTATCAATATGGTCCGTCAAGACCATGGTACACTCTTTTCTTCTCTTTCTTTGGCAAGTGTTCAAGCTGGCACCTTGGCCTTGCCTGTAAATTCTGTATAGACTATAGACTTTAAAGCTAATAAAGATACACTTTAATACAAAAAAAAAAAAGATAAGCGGTTTCAACATTCCAGCGTTTGCTTTTATCGCTTTCGATCTTCGTTTGCCACACGTTTCAATCAAGGTTTATTGGCAGATGCGAAAAAAAGCTCAAGCTTTTTTGAGAATCAATTGATTATAGGTAGCTGTGTAGCAAGATAGCATATTGCATGTGTCACAGAAGAAAACCTGAGCTTCCTAAATTTACACCCTGTTTAAAAGTCTGTGTGGAGAGAGGGCTTTTTATAGCCCAAAAAAGTAACAAGCATCATAAAAGGAAACGAGGGTACCATCACAAGACCCACATTCATTGGATGATTCACCATGTGTTGCTCATAACCTTAAATGTTGGGCCTGAATTGCTTTGAAACAAGTCAATTTACGCACGCTTTTGATCATCTACTTTTTTTTCTTCTTTACTACCTTTATCATCTATTACTCTATACATATATTTTTCTGCCTTCAGATTCAATGTTCTTGTTTGATACAAAACTGCAAAAGAAATCAAGACGCAGCAAACCGAGATCAGGTATCTCTGCTGAGGCAAAAGCAGCAGCAAAAGCAAAAAAGATACAGCAAAACAACATGGATTCTTTACAGATAACGTTTTACGAAATTGAAGCATGGATAGAGAAGACAACACCTACTCTTAATCGCATGACTAGAGAACTGGATAAAGCATCCAAGTATTTTGAAAACAACAACAAACGCACAAAGACCGATACTGTTCGGATACCATCGTCCACTACAAATCGAGCAACCACAATAACGCACACTGATTCATCACCACCATCACCTTTCAGTCTGCCCAACACATCGCCATCATCATCGTCATTGTCAGCTTTTCCAATGAAGCAAAATTTACCTACAGCATCGTCCATGCAATGGGCACTATCATTTCAGCCGGGAAATTCAATGCGCCTAGAAACCAACATCAAATCAGTGGAACAACTCATAGATGCTGTTGAAAAGATACGGCTGATGACAGAGTCTTCTGCGACACCAGATCTCTGCAGCGATGATGAGTCTGAAGATGCATTGTCTGCATCGTCTGTCGTGGATCCGTCTATCGAGTATTGGCAGCATGCCATGTATCGTCGTCCACACACTTGTTTAGAGAAATACAAGCATTGTGATATGAATCTAAGCCATCTCACTGAAGATATATCGCCTAGCGTCCTTCGCTACATTTGCCAGACTTACTGGGATTGCTTGCACCCGAAATTTACAGCAGACTGGTCAACCTTTTGGAGCAGATCAAACGACTCGGGTCGCAATCAAATTTGCATTGACTCTGGACTCGCCATGATATTTCTACACATTATTCGACACAACCGAAATGCCTGCGCCAATGCTCATGGTATCGCTTATTACTACTATGACCGAGCGCGTGAAGTATTGTGCTTTGATGAACCTGATGTCACTACCATTGAAACGCTGCTCAACTTGTCCCTGTTTTGTGTCTTATGCAAACGACATTCACAATCTCGCATTTACCTCAGCTTAGCATACCGAATGCTGCACCAATTAGGCTTAGGAAGCAAATCGCAATTGCCTGTGGAGGATGTGGCTGAACGAAAGGCATTATTAAACATACACATGGTGTTGTATTATAACGATGTTACTGTCTCTGTTTATTCAGGCGAGCCCTCGCTAATTGACGATAGCATCCATGACATTGATTTCTACGAAATGCTCGAGTACGCAACAGATCAAGAAACATTTTTCGTGCATATAGTCGAGCTAACACGCATTGGGAAACGTATACAGCTACTGGTACATGATTACCAACGACAGAGCTTACAGCATCATCACACGGGAACACTGCCATTCAAGTGGATCAAACTGATAAGATCACTGGAGGTGAGCTTGGCACACTGGTTTGATCTTTTGCCCTCGTTTTATCGCACTCAAAATACACAAGCATCACTGTTGCTTATGATGCAATACCAGACAGAATGGATCAAATTGCACAAGGCGTTTGTATCTCCCAACCATCAACAAACAGTCTCTGATCTGGAAGGAACATCACCGTTGGCCACCACGCCCTATCGCACAGACAGATCCTACAACATTTGTATGGATGCAGCCAATCGCATTATTAAAATGGCAGAAACCATCAATCAAAAGTACGACTGGTGTGTGTGTCAGCAATTCATCAGCTGTGTATACCAAGCCTCTACAGTCTTCTGCAAGAGCATTTCCAACAAGGACAGGCACAGTGCAATAAGCAAGCTGATGATCAAGCGTATTATGAAGGTGTTGGCTGCAAGCAAGATGAATTATCAAGGATTGCCCGATGATTTGGCAGCATGCTTGACTGAGTTTTTGGCCAATAATGATGCCAGTGCTGCTGCTGATGTCGAACTCGCCTCCTACATCAATCAATGTGATATCAAGCTCAACGATACCATGTTCAACTCGCCCAACATGTTTGAACAGTGCCTGAAACAGCAGGTTGCTTGTAAGCCATTGACGTTGAACAGAGGACCTCCTTCAGAAGCCATGCTGTCCATTAAAATCCAGAATCCCAATGTTACATCGCTTGACATTGAACCCAGCAACAAGAATTGGAGGTTTGTGGTGCTGTTGTGTGATACTGCCATGTCCCTTTTGACTCACATTTTCTTGGCTTTAATTAGATGCAAATTCTCTTCTTCCAATATTGCCCAAGTGGATCATCGTATCACTTAAATTAGCAAAAATCGTAAATGTGTTTATTTAAATACATTGCAAGTTTAGTATTTGTCATTGAATGATTGGACCCTGAGTTGTTTAAAATTGGGATGTACACCTCTACCAAGCTTGTGATTTTTTTTTCTTTCTTTTTTTATTCCTTGTAAAAACCACATTAAAATGGCTACGTTGATGGAAAGCTGCAACAACTTTTTTGAGCAACTCACCTTGTCGGTTTTGCGTAAAGGCAAAGTACCTCGTCATGTTGGATTCATTCTGGATGGCAATAGACGATTTGCTCGAAAGGCAGGTGCAAATTCAACCAAATTTGGACACTATGAAGGATTCAGGCAGCTGGAAAAAGTAAGATGAAAGAGAGATGTTGCATTGATGGGGGGGGGGAGTTACGGGTGCTGATACGCTTTGACATAGGTCTTGGATCTATGTATGCAACTAGGCATCGAGGCAGTGACAGTATATGCATTTAGTTTGGAGAATTTTAACAGATCTCAGGATGAAGTGGATTATCTGATGCAGCTGTTTTGCGATGCATTCGATGGGTTCTGTGAAAGAAAGTAAGGCTGGCTATTTGGATGGATCACTGTGCATCGTACTGACAGATGATAACAGTGCATTGGTTGACAAGTATGAGATTGGCGTTCGATTCTTGGGCGATCTGAGTCGTTTGCCGCAGAATGTGCAAGATGTAGTCCATAAAGTGACAGAACAAACTAAAAAGAATGAAAAGTAAGTTTCTCTCACATGGCAAATCAGCATTGGGCTTTGTTAGGCTTACACATAGCGGTGATGATAGACGTATTTTCAATGTGTGTTGTCCGTATACCTCTCGAGATGAAATGACCACAGCGATAAAGGATACAATTGAACTAGTGAAACAAGGAAAGATAACAGCAGAGTGAGTAGGTGGAATTTCAGGGGGTGTGCTTATTGTACTGACATGCTTTTTGACTAGCGAAATCACAGATCAAACCATCAAAGACCATCTCTTCACAGCCAATTGTCCGTCTCTAGACATTCTTGTTCGTACATCAGGAGAAATTCGTCTCAGTGATTTTCTATTATGGCAGGCGAATGATCGTTGCCAGATCCAGTTTGTAAACTGCTACTGGCCAGAGTTCTCCTTGTGGAAGTTATTGCCCATTTTGCTGGAATATCAGATTTATTCAGATCATCAGTTACAGGAACAACAGGTGAGTGTGAGTGTGTGTGTGTGTGGCTATGATGCTAGAGGTTATATCAGAGAGCAGAAGCTGATATGTCTTTATGCCAACAGGAAATCCACGCTTGACATACCCCAAATACAATAAACAAATATGCATTTAATTGAAAAATGTTTATTAAGTTAGATTAAAATGTGATGATAATGAAGTTGAATGAAATTCTATATTATAGTTAAACTTGACAAAGCTTGGCTTCATCAATCATGGCAATGGAGGCACCCAAACACCAGCCAGTTTCAGCCCCACGAATCTTTTTGGCTGTACGCACTAATCTGTCATTGGGAATATCATAGCCGAATTTAAGGAGGTTGTGGATATATGTTAGATCCAAGCAATAATCAGGCTTGTCTCGCAATGTTTGGATGGCACCAGGTACATGCAGGAATGGCTTTGTTTCACCACGACACACACGGTCCGTCAATTCCCCTAATTCACGTACACTGAACTCAAGTGGCATACCCAAGGGCTGAGTCAAGTCGTAAAAGTAGGAAAATACGTACAAATCTCTGTCCTTGAATGTATCGGTAATGGAAGGTTGGTAGACACCATCAAAGGCACATGGACCCAACTCACATAGCTTGTCCTTGTTGAACACGTTTTCAATGATACCACGACACTCGGCATGTCCAGCTCCAGTACCCACCAATTGGATCATGGTGCCATTCTTGAGCTCAATCTCTTCTGTGTGATCTGCAGGCAAACAAGGGTGGTACACTTTGCCAGTCAATGCCGCCTCTTCTTTCCACATGCTGACCAGTTCAGCCTTGATGCGCTTGCGAGCTTCATTCAAGCCGTAACCCAAGTAGGAATGCTGATACAACCCAAAAGTGCTGTTTTGATAATCCAGTTCATACTTGTGCTCGCCTTCCGACATGGACTCTGTCATTGGAAATGTGGGTTCAAACACAATCTGAGTCGATGCACCTCCCAAATCAAAGACAGCTGCTGATTGTCCACGTTGGCTCTTTTTGAGTTTACCCAACAAATAGTTGACCGTAATCCAAGCATAAACACCTTTTTATACAACAACATGAGTGCGCTTGTTTGTTTGTTTGGATCTGCGTGTCACCATCACTCACCTTCGTCTTTGCCTTCCATAATTTCAATGCCATTGTCTTTAGCAATAGGGAATGGATATGTTTCCAAATATTTACGTACGCTGGCAAGAATGCGATCGCTCTTCTCAGCGCCCAGCATACGCAAACCAGCAGTGGCCTTGACGGCAATGGGTGTACATTTTTGATGTTCCTCGGGTACGCTCTTGACCGCAATCTCCATCAAGGGCTTCAATGAGTTGGCAGCCCCCTCAGCATCGTCTTTGAACGAGGATAATCCAGGTTCGAGCTTGTGGAAAACTTCGTCTTCCAAGACTGGGTCGTTACATACATTGAATCGATACACATGCACACGAGAGCCTGATGATCCAGCATCAATCATGACGGCATATTCAGTGGATGGTAGGCCATCCTTTGTGGCTGAACACACTATATTGTCATTGACATTCAACTGATCTAAAGATGGTACATTGGAGTCTAAAGTTTTTTTTTTCTATTATTAGCATCTTTTGAACTTGCCATCATGAGAGTAGTGGGCTTTTTACCTTTCTGGACAGTGTTGTTATTGAATATATAATTTGATGTTGAAGGTGAATACAACAACCACAAAAACAAAATGACTACAGTAACTGCAGCAAAACATTTCCAGAATAAACCCTTTTTGGTCTTGATAGAGGCCATCATCATATCTTTGGATTTTCCAAAAATGGAGATTTGTCTCTGATGATAGTTGTTATTGCTGTTGTTATCCAAAGGAATCGAAACTAGGTACTCAGACGACACTTTTGATAAAATGCACAGGCGATGTAAAAAAAAAAAAAAAGGAAGAGAAACAGAGAGTATAGATTTCGTTGTTGTACAACAATTTGGTTGTAAAAGAGAGAAAGGAGGAAGCCAAAAGGGGTGGAGCTTATATTAAATATATATAAATGAAATCATTTGTGCACCCAATCAATAGGCAGTAGTGCAATACAAACAAGAATGCTCATTGTTTTGGGCTTTGCTCTTTGACATTGAAATGTTTCAGTCTCTATCACTGTGGTTTGATGGAGCTATAAGATAGCAATATTCAAGCCACATTCTGTTGAATGCAAAGGTACTAGTGCCATTTACGAGGTCTTAAACGTATCAAATAGTCATTTAGAAAGGTGTCCTTCCCCCCCCCCCCTCATCAAGAATATTGCCAGCTAAACTTGGAGTTGGTTGAGTGATCTTGAAATGACTTTTAAGAATATCTCCCTCACCTTCAATTTTCGATAACACCTAGAACAGTAAAGATTTGGCTCGTTTATATTTATCTCTGCGTCAGGGTGGTTAGTATTCACTCTGGGAGCAGGAGGGATTTTCATTTGATGGGTAGTACGAAGTTGTCTACGACAAGTGTCCTTTGTTGCGTACATGTGTTTGCAGACACGACAGTAGTAGTTGGAAGCATCAATGTCTGGTTTGGATTCGTCTGTTTCTTGATCCTTCCTTCCAATACAATGTTTGGCTAATGAGTATGTTATAAGATTTATCGCAAACTGTGCAGTAATTGTTAGGATTGCTGGTATCTGGCCTTGTGCTGTTTGGTTGGATGATAGTATCATCTCGTGAATGATGAAGTGGTGCTTGCTCAAGCTTTCTTTGGAATAAAACGAGCTGCCACAAATACTACTAAGGTTTTGAGGATTGAGCGTCTTCCAGGCTGTCCCGAAGGTCTTGAGCGTATTCGATGTACTTCATAGCAATCTGATCTGTACTTTTGCTCGTTTTTGTATGTAATATCTTATAGTTTGCAGTGGAGATTTGAGTCATGTACGTCAGTTTGTTCCTCTTCTTTGCAAAGTTGATTTTTTGGGCTCTTCTTATTGTGGATATTCGTGCAATGTTTTATGATGCATAGTTTAGTCTTGTATTAGCGCTCGCGAAATGGGCAGTGGTAACTTGAATTATCCCAGTCAGGCAAAACGTTTGTATTTATTATATAAGAGCAATACCACAACACTTGCATTTTATGAATGTTTATTTCTTTGCTTATCTGTTACTTTGTATGAACGGCAGTGAGAGCTGGGATCACAAGGATCAAGAAACGTATCGTTCAATGGCCCAACTCGCCTTCCCATCAAAGCCATATGATGCGTATATCCGAGGTGCAGTCGATAGCTTGCTTTTGTGAGGTAAGCCTTTTCACAGCTTTTGCAAAAGTTATCTAGGTCATAGATGTCTGGTTCCAAGTCCATGCGTTTGATAGACAGGCTGGTGCGCTTCATATTGTGAATTAACTTTTGATGGTCCGTTACTGATTGGTAGTTATCAGGCTTCATTTTGCGTAGTAGGCAATGATAGTAGTATCCTGACTTGCTTACTTACATGGCATAAACTATATCAGAAGACGTTCAGTATGTATCCCTTTGATAATCACATCAGAGGGGTTTACCTAAAGCCTCATCCTTCAATGCCTCTTCTTATTTGATACGAACATCGCCTGGTTCCTTTGCTATGCGTGGTGATTGCCTCAGCTGAAATTTACGCGAAATTCATCTTTTGTGTCTTCTTTGATGTTGAATGCGATGTTCTTTTTGACTCGTCCTTGAATAGCTCATGAAGCCTGTGTCCTTGATGTTGTGGCGCTGTATAGACAATAAAGGAGAAGATTGATTTGCATATGTAAATAATTCGCAGGTTGATAATAACGTAAGAGACATCATAACTCAGAATGACAAATGTATATACAATAACCAGAAGGAAAACAATCATTTATATACTTGGTTCAGATATCATTGCAACTACTGACATTACTGCAGCCTTTTAGTATGGCACGGACGGCTCAAACACGTCATTATCGCCAGGAAGCAGCAATAGCAGCACTCTCAAAAGTTAAACGTAGGTAGTTTTTTATAAGATTCAATGGAACAGAGATGTTTGGATGTATCGCATAATAGACGCTGTATTTCTATATCAATTCCTTTTCAAACAGAGTCTCTCCGGAATATCGATCGACCTACATTCCTCAAACGCAGCTCCTTTTTGTGAAGTCCCAAACCTAGATATAGTGATCCTGATAGCCGATGAATGTCGAAGCGGCAAGATGTCTATGCTAATATATGAGCGACTGCAATAGGTATAAAACATAGTTTTGATCACTTTCACTTGGTATGTGTGAGCAGGCAGCGAGGCTTTGAAAACTAAGAAGGCTTTAGATTACTGCTGGATATAAATATCTCATCTAGAAGACTAACCTACGGCTAGGGAACTGCAATCGGGCAAAAGAAAGGTTCTTCTAAGGCCTCTGCTGGGTATATCTTTGCCCTTCTTCAAAATAGCGTATTCAGATTTGACAATGTGTTTTCCTTCTCCCCAATATTGCGAAGAGTATGTTCCCAGAATATCTCTGTATACATTGCGGTTATCCTCCAGAAGTCCACATGGAAAAGAACTTCTGCTTGTTTCAATTTCCATGCATGCTCTGTTTCCTTGTTGACGAAAAACATGGTAGGCTTTTGCTGGTGGTTTCGGAAGACTTTCGCAAGTTTTTCTTTTAAACAGTGTTGAAGGCAATTGGCGCAATACGCATTGTCGATGAAATCTACACCTCCTTTGACAAGCAATGCAGAGATTGGATATAGGCCAAAGTGATCAATTGAAAAAGTGGTGCCCACTATGGTTTCTGCGATGTTGGAAACTACAGGTTTTAATCCTGCCTCTAGTAGCATTAGATGAGATATCTTGAGAGCACAAGAGCATCTTCTATCAATTGAAATCAAACAGTATGCATCCATTTCTTTATACGGGAGGATGCTTTTGTTTTGAAACTATATGTAAACTATCGTAAATAGGTGTCTTTTTGCATGCATTAGTCGTTTTTACCCAGTTATCGATAAAATTCGTCAAGTTTACGGCAAAGCATTTGTAATAATCTAATGTCAGTGTGATGTTCTCATGCTCTGAATAGCAGGTAATTAATGCGTCCAGATGGCCCTCTGATTCTAATTGTTGATAATGGTCCCAAATAATGTCAGATGCTGTAACCAGTATATGATCCATTTCGACTGTTCTTTCTTGCGCAGTGAACAGCTCTACAGGAATTGCGGAAGATGATGCATTGACCACCTTGTTTAATATAAAGTGGATCTGCCGCTCATCGATGTTTGCTTGTAGATTGAAAGAGTTCAAAGGTAGTAGAGTGCTTTTAGTATCTTCTCTATCGCTAAATGCAAATCCATCAGTCTCTTCTTCGTCCTGAATCAGCGGCGGGAGAAGGGCATTGGCGATTCGGGTCATTTTCACCGACCTATATAGCACGCCCTGGTCAGTATCATTTAAGGTAAATCTCTCCTCAGTTTTGACGAGCTTTGCCTGTAGTAGGGCTTTCTCGATAAGAAAACAATGCAAAGGACCTGTATTGCCGTTACCAAGAAGTATCCTGCGAATTCCATCCGGTGCGCCATTGATTAACCGAGATGCCTTCAAAGATACTTGTAACAAATCACAGATTGCTTTTGTATACTGCTGAATATCGACGTCCTGGGTTAAATCTACAAGGAAATGTTTAATCTGATACTCCCCAAGACCCTGGAGTTGGTCTTTGGAAAAGTATGCAGACGGCAAAATATCGCCAATCTTCCGATTTTCATGCCGCCTAATGTATCAGTGGTGTTAGAGGCACAAGCATTATTTTGATGCAAAATTAACAACAACATACCATTCTGGATCAATAGCTGAAAGCTCATCTTCCGTATTGACTCCGTATTGCATCTTGTAATTGTTCCTGAATTTTGTTATGATGCTCATGCTTGCTCTCCACAGCGCCTCGTTCAAGGTGGATAAACAAATTGATTTGCTACTGCCGAGAACAGAAGGAACAGGCAAGAAATCACTGAATGCTAACTTCTTGGATAATGCACATAATTCTTTTGCACATTGCATCTGAAAACAGGTCGTTGTAAAGATAACTTTGTGTCCCTCTTCCGCTGGCTGCATAGATAATAATATGTATTTTCCCTCTCTCTGGAAATACTTCTTGCGCATATCACGTATTTTAAAAGCGTTCACGTATGCTTCAATATAGGGTACCAATATCAATTTGCTATCGCTATCTTTCGTTGTGATCCAACCAGTCTCCAGATACAAGGCACATAACAGGTTTATATCCCAGTCAGCGGATGGTGGCGATACAACTATGATTTGACATGACTGTAGTGGGAGACCAAATTTGCTGGCAATTTTCATTTTGAGGTTCTTGAAGTATTCCAAGATAAAGGATAGTGTCGCAATCTCGGCTGCGGATAACGGTGCTCTATCTTTTGAACGTAATTCGAAATATTTGGGAAAACCATTTTTGGAGTGCTCTATTTAACAGATGCCAAGTTAGAGAATGTATACATATCGATGATATTAAGCTAGACAATACCACTTTCAAGATTTTCAAATTCGATGCACTAGTGGAACTGCCATATATTATAATACTTCCACCAATGCGAACACCTGTCGAAAGTTAGATCGTAATATAAGCTTAGCTGATACCGTTAACTTACGAAAAGATATTACGTATTGGTACTGTGAGTATCTGCGTAATGTTTCCATCTCGGTAACTAGTCAAAAAAAAAAAAAAAAGAAAAGGTACCAACATCTAAACAAACAACAGCAACATTTAAAGCTTCTTTGTCTTACAAGATGAGATTATGTACGACCAAATACTTTTCTCGTTTAATGGGCTTAACAACAAGAATGTATTAATCAAGGCTATACCATGCAAAAATAAAATGATGCGTCCAACATAGCAATGCCCGGGTATTTTCTATTAATTATCTTCATGATAAGGGAGGTATTGGTTTTGCCAGCAAGTGGCCGCCAAAACTACTTTAATCTTTGCTAGACATTCTGTCATGATTTGTTGATTTTCAAACTTTTGGATTCTATTCGACCTATTTTACAAAACTGGGCTATGTAAATTGTAAGCACTCTGTCATATCCTCTTAAGCTTTCTTGGATTGCTTTTCAAGACGAATCCGATGGTGCAAATTTGAAAGTTAGTTTTGAATAAGCTTATTGAGTAAAACATGAAAACATGAAAACATGAAATGGCGTTTTCTGCCAAAATGTAGAGATTTTGCATTTTAAGGTCCCATAGTGATTTCAGGGGTTGCTCTGAGTCGACAGAAACGTTTAATTTAATACATACCTTCGCGAAAGTCTTCATTTTTTGGTGTCAAAAACGCGATCGGTTGATTTTCGATGAAAATCATGAGGGATATCCTATGCTTTTTGGTCGATTTTTGATGATGTCTTTTTAGTTCCCAAAAAAGCTGAGCAAAGGAATCGGTAAGTGCTAGATGAGAGTAATTTGCTCGGTGCTATTCTGGCAGTTTAAAACATCTTTTAACACAAGAAAACTTTATTCAAATGCATTCAAATGTCATTGTGTTTTGCATGCTTTAGATTAGTTACAAGTGGTGCTACTATGCTTCTGCCTATACGTATGCGAATTATTTCTACTGAAACGTTCTAGGACTGTCAGATAAACAGTCTGTACCTGTTTATTGAGTGTTTTCACATGCCATTGTAAGCCCAAATGTGAATCCTCAGTATACATCAGTAGAATGATCCTGTATTGCCTGGACGCCAAGTAAACAGGGAATCAAAAACCATGAATTCAAGGTTCCTTTCATCAAGATGTTTGCTGGAACATGTCGCATCTACAGGCACACAAATACACAAGAGTAGCATTTGCAAATGGCTGTGCTGAGCACTTTCTCTCTCTCTCTCTCTCTAATTGGGGACTCGACCTTGGCGATATGATCATCTATGTAACTTGATCAAACAAATAAAATAAGGCTGTTTCTTACTGGCTTGATGACTCTCAAAGATGCCACCACATCTAAAACTGAATTTAAATGGTTGGCTGATACTCATTTAGAAATATACTTTTCTAATAGTGTCCTTAGGTTGGAACACACAAAAAGAAAAGGGCTGGTTTCTTTCCTCTTTTTCTTCAACCTTATAGACTTTCAAGCTATAAAATGTCTGCTTCTACTTCAAATCATTTCAAATTTTCGGGTAAATGAGTCAAGTGCACACACAACGGAAATACCTACTAAATCACTTGTCATGTTGTATATAGTGGGTGATGCGTTTGATTCTCTTCGAACGATTCGCGTACCAGCAAAAGACGGCCGAAGTGGACAAGATATTCAACTTCAGTATTCGCATCAAAAGGTGATTGGAAATGGATCTTTTGGAGTAGTATATCAAGTGAAATTAGATCACAATGGAGAAGACGCTGCCATAAAAAAAGTGTTGCAAGATAAACGCTTCAAAGTAAGGGGGATGCACACTATTTGAACTTTGATTGAACTTTGCGATATTCATTATTCAACACAACATCTAGAACAGAGAGCTAGAGATTATGAGGCTAATGAACCATCCCAACATTTGCGCCATCAAGGCCTATTTTTACTCACAAGGGGAAAATAAGGTGAATAAATGCGTTAGCATATCGAATAAGGATTTGATCATTGTTACTAAATATCTCTCTCTCTTTTTTTTTTTTACCCCTTGAAATTTTCTGATTTGCACTTTTTTGGTTCACACTTGTGCTGCCTAAACGATTCAAGAGAGACGATGTTTATCTGAATCTCGTCATGGAATACGTACCAGAAACAGTGTATCGGGTCACTCGTCATTATACCAAGATCAAACAAGCTGTGCCCATGTTGATTGTCAAGCTGTACATTTACCAATTGTTCAGAAGCCTTGCCTATTCTCATACGCTTGGCATTTGTCACCGTGATATCAAGCCTCAAAATCTGTTGGTACATCCCATCTCGGGTGTATTGAAATTATGTGATTTTGGATCGGCAAAGATACTGGTAGAAGGTGGCGTTAATGTTGCTTATATCTGCTCTCGTTACTACCGTGCTCCAGAATTAATCTTTGGCGCCAATTCATATACCTCAAGCATCGATATTTGGTCAGCAGGATGTGTGATGGGAGAGCTATTATTAGGACAGCCCTTGTTCCCAGGAGAGAGCGGAATCGATCAACTTGTAGAGATTATCAAAGTATTAGGCACACCAACAAAAGAGCAAATCTTGACAATGAACCCAAATTACACTGATCACAAATTTCCAAGCATCAAAGCACATCCATTATCCAGAGTGTTCCGCTCTCGCACACCACCAGAAGCACTGGATCTATTATCACATATCTTACAGTATGACCCAAAACTGAGACCCACAGCTAGCGAAGCCATGGTACATCCTTTCTTTGATGAATTGCGTAATCCAGAGACAAAGATGGCAACGGGCAGAGAGTTACCTGAATTATTCAACTTTTCAAGAGAAGGTATATAGAGTATTTATTATATGAAATGCAACAGAGGAGGCGTGTAGTAACATGTTATATACATAATGTAGAGCTGTCGATAAGACCAGACTTGATACAGAAATTGGTTCCTTCACATTATATTGATTCTTTGCAACAAAAATCAGGAATAGACATTTATCACTTTGATCCTATCCCAGTAGAGGATTTACGATTAACCAATGTAGATTGAAATAAATGCAAATATATATATATATATACAATCATGGCTCCACTTTAATAGCTACTGTTAAAGGCTCATTTTTAACTGCTTGTTGGAGCGCATTTTCGACATTCTTCTCCTTTTGTTTTCTCTGCCTGATAGACTCTTGAATGGATTTCAGTTTCTTATCAGTCTGTGGGCGTATGGGTATGTTGTTGCTCGTCTGTTGGATCACCTCTTTCTTTTGCTTCTTATGTCGAGGCTTCCTCATATGTCTGGGCAGTTTCACCTTTTTCGCTTTGGCCCTCCTCAACTTCTTTCTAGGTGGTTCCTCAACCTTGTCTTCTTGTTGAGCGGCAACTGTGTCATCCTCTGATTCAGGCTTGATACCTGCACTGACATCTAACCCATCTACAGGCTCAAGCTTGATGCTGACGCCATCATCTAACTCTTCTGCTTTCATACTGATATCAACCGCTATGTCTTGGTGATACGCCGTATTCTTAACAGTATTGGCGTCACCGTCATCGTTTCGTCTCTTGAGACCCTTCTTGGGAGACTGATAGGGCTCTGCAAACTTGCCAGCTCGAGTGACGTATGTGAGAGCTAGATCCAACTCTTTATTCTCTGGCACCTTGAAACGGCGAGAGAGAAATGGCTCGTTGCGCACATAATTGGCCACATTAGAGTGAAATCTTACAGCATCGAGATACTTGATCACTTTCAAGAGTTCGTTGTCTGTGTAGCCTTCGCGGATCTCCTCATGGTGGAATGTTCTAATGTGGATCAGGTTGTAAGGTTGAAGTGCTAATTTAGAGGGAGAGTCATCCAATGCAATTGTGTTTGTAGCATTGTATTCGTTTGAAAAGTGCTCCCAGACAATGGCCAGATCTTTGATGGTGTCAACATTGCTGTTGAATTGTTTTTGGCTCAATTTAAGATGATTGCGGCTCCACACCAGCTTCAAGGGTTCTGTGAATATATGGCACATCTTGTCGACATTTTGCTGTCTTGCCGAGCTCCACACCATAACTTCAAAGTGTTTGAAAATATAGTTTAGAAAGGTTTGATAATGCGGTCGAGCATAGAATGCTCTCCCAGCTTTGGCTCTGCATTTGATACGTGAGATAAGTGTTCCGTTCAGGTCCAAGATGAGGAGTTGCTTTTTCGGCTGTTGTGATGGGAAACTGGACTTTTGAGTGGATAGCTGTAAATAGGCTTCAGACAGTTTTCGATCCGTTGCTGATTGTTGTGGGTCCATGGTTTTGTTGTCGAGTTGGATTGCAAAGATGAGAAAAAAAGAGAGAAAAAGAAAATTTTATGTTTTGGGCCCATAGGATAGGGTTCACTCTTAAAATGGGACTTTTGTTTACATGTGTTTAATTGGCCTTCTTTCTTCTCGCTCTTTTTTCACAGCTTGGATACAGTAAAATGACAGATAATACAAGCGATAAAACAGAGCTAGCACCACTACCGCAGCTACAAGAGCCACAGCAAGCACATACACAGCAAGAAGATATCGATAATCTCTACAACGAATTGGGCACATTGATCAAAAGCAACAGCACAAACGATGTCAGTAGTCTGAGTAGTATTAGCAGTAGCAGCAGCAACACCACTAGCCAATCCATGTCCTGCGCTTGCAAGCATTGGCTGGTATCGATGGAAACAAAGCACTGTAGCTTATGCGATGCCGTTGTACCTCTGCTCGAAAAGCTTCAGACCGAGAAACAAAAGCTTAAAGAGCGTATACAATCACTGAAATCACAGCTGGATGACCAAAGATCATTACTGAATTCCTATAAAAGGGACCATGGCACATTGAGCGCACAGTATGCTCAGAGAGAACAACAAAGCGACGCTATCAAAGCTAGCATTGAGAGCCTTCAACAAGACATACACTTTCTCAAGACCAAGCATAAAGACGAGATTGCTCATACGCTGGAAATTGAACAATCCAAAAAAGGTGTTGAAATCGAGCTGCACGATTTATCTCAAAAGCTGTTTGAAGAGGCGAATGCTCTCGTTTTAGCAGAAAAGAAGGAAAAACTAATTTTACAGCAAGAGCATGATCAAGTGAAATTGCAGCTGGAGAATACACAGATAGAACTAGCCGCGGTGCAGACCGAGTTGCAGACGCTAAGAGAAGTAATGGCGGATCAACCACAGGAGACAACAACAGCCAAAACAACACACGAGAATTACACGTTACGAGCACAACTCGACATGGCTACATTGTTAGGCGTGCCTCAGCCTGTAGAGATCAATCCCAACATACAGAAAGATGGTCTGCTATTACAAGAGTTTGATACCTTTATCCAATCACTTGAAATCACATCCATGGCCAAGGTGAACAGCCTTCCCTTTATGAAATACATTATCAAATCTGATATCGAACCCTGTTTGAAGTTTGGCAAAGCAACTAGCAAGAGAGTACTGGAGGCTATTTTGTCCAAAACGTGCCTGATAGAAGAGTGCCCGCAAGAGTTTATAGACATGAAGAAGCAACAGCCGCCCATCAAAGCCAAGCCGAAATCTCGACTCTGGGGATTCTCCTCATCGCCCATGCAGCCGAATGAAACAGCAGCATTGCCCATCCTAGGCTGCTCTACGTGTGGTAAAGAGTTGGAGGAAGGAGAGGATCAAATGTGGAGATTTAGAACATCGTACTTTGATGAGTGGGCTCTGATTGATGGCTACTGTCGGGATAGGATTAACTCGGTCGTAGCCTTTTATGCTTGGTTGAGGCGAATTAAAGTGCAGCAGACAAAAAAGACAGAGCTCGATGAAGCGTACGAAGAATTCACTCGATTGCAGCTTCAAATGTTACTAAGCAGGTAAGGGTCTGTCTTTCTAGGTGTGATACCGTATTAACAATCATCATAGAATGGGTGCTCTGCCGTGTCTCTTAAACACATTTGGTCTTGAAACACAGTGATCGCCTCGATGGAAAAATCTTTTCCAACCCCATCATACGACAGTTTTTTTTTTTTTTTTTTTTTTTTTTTTCCTTTTCAAAGCCAAATGGCCCTTTGTATATATGCACACACACACACACACACACACATACACACACACATACTTAACACACATTCAGGTCAACGCTCTCTATCCAGGGTCTTGTATTCTGCAGATCCCTTTCGACTACAAACAAATGTACATATCTTGAACTTTATTACTTGTACAACAGAGATTTCTCTAGATTCTGACCAAGGATTCATGTTGCGCTTTTTACCATGGACCAACTCGATATAATCCCAACCAATTGGTGTTTGGTTTAGAGCCCTTTAAAGAGCTGGGAATCATCTGTTTTTTTTTTTACTGCTTTCTAGCCCAATTAGAAAATTTTTAATTTTGGAAAAGCACCTGTTATAAAAACCTACTTGTCAAATGTCATAAAAGCTCTTTTTTTTTTTTCTTCTTCTTCTTCTCTCGTTGTCCTCGATCTAAATCACGCTTTTCAGACTTTAAAAAGCTTTCTTTTTTGATTTCAAATCTTATTGTTGGATTCTTTTTTTTTTCGCATAAAAAAAAAAAAAACTTATACACAAACACATTAAAATGCCTGGTAGCAGAGAATTCGATCGTGTCGACTACGACTTGGAGAAAACCTTATATCCCGATGAACCCAATACCGAAGGAACAAGCACGCCTGAACATTTGATGGTACATCGTCTTCATACCAACTTGACTGACACCTTGGAATCGCACTCGGATGTCAAGCAAGCTCCTCGTCCTGCTCCCATCACTGAAAAGGGCATGACTACATCCATTGACATGCCTCAGCAAATGGATGACAAGGCTTCGATCGAAATCTCTACTGACGATGGTGAAGATGAAATCAAAAAGGACAGCAAGTTTAGCCTGTTCTACAAGAGACACAAGGTTTGGTTCCAGTGAGTCTCGATTATTTGCATGCTAGTTGCTCTTTTAGATTCACACTAAAAACAATCTTATTTTAGCATTGCGTATTTCATCATCTTTACTGGCTTCTTGGCTGCTGCTTATGCTATTCAAGTGCCTAAGGGCTACAATCAAGAGAACTTGATCCTGGGCTTGATTTATGCCTTCTTTTGTTTGAAATTCTTGTTCAAGTATGTATCCACAAGCCATATCACAAAGCCTGTTGTTTGGTGTGGCCGTAAAGTAATGGCTCCCTACATGCGTCTTCCTGAACTCTATCGTACGCTTGCCTATGGTGTCTTTGTTTTAGCAGTGATTCTGATTACCGTGTTCTGTCTTCCCGAGAAGCCTGAATCAAACCGCTTGCAACGTTTGCAAGCTCTCTTTGGTATGATTGTCTTTTTGTTCTGTTTGTGGGCAACATCCAATAACCGCAAGGTTGTCAACTGGAACACCATTTTGAGTGGTCTCTTGTTGCAATTCTTGCTGGCCTTGTTCGTCTTCCGTTGTTCTGTTGGCCATGACATCTTCAATTGGGCTAGTACATTTGCCCAGGGTTACCTTGAAAAGGCTTCTCACGGCACCTCCTTCATCTTTGGTAATGCTGTTGCAGAATCTGGCATTTTCGCTGTTACCGTATTTCCCACGCTGATTTTCTTTGCGGCTACTGTTCAAGTCTTGTATTACTATGGTGCCTTGCAATTCTTGCTCAAAAAGTGTGCTACCTTCTTCATGGCTGCTCTCAAGGTATCTGGTGCAGAGTCCATTGTCGCAGTAGCCTCTCCTTTCTTGGGTCAAGGCGAAAATGCCTTGTTGATCAAACCTTTCTTGCCCTATTTGACTCAATCAGAAATGCATCAGGTTATGTGTTCTGGTTTTGCTACCATCTCAGGTTCCGTCTTGTATGGTTATATTGCCATGGGTGTTTCTGGTGAAGCCCTGTTGACTTCTTGTATCATGTCTATTCCCTGTTCTTTGGCTGTTTCAAAATTGCGTATGCCTGAAGATGATGTACCAATCACTGCCAATGAAGTTCGTGTGCCTCCTAGTGATGAAAAGCCTGCCAATGCTTTACATGCTGCTGGTCATGGTGCTGCTACTGGTATGAACATTGCGCTTTTGATGTGTGCCAATTTGATCTCTCTTTTGGCCATGTTGTATGCTGTCAATGCTGGTTTGACTTGGCTCGGCAAATTTGTCACTATTGACGAGTTGACTCTGCAATTAATCACCGGTTACATCTTTGTACCTGTAAGTTGATATCGATTTCTATTTTGTCACCACAGATTCTAACATGTTATATAAAAAAAAAATAGGTCTCCTGGTTAATGGGTGTTGAGCCCCAGGACGTCGTTACAGTTGGTCAATTACTTGCTACCAAGATTTGGGCTAATGAGTTTGTCGCTTACCAAGCCTTGGCTTCGACTTACATCAACATCTTGACTCCTCGTTCTTACCTGATCACTACTTATGCTCTTTGTGGTTTTGCCAACTTGGGTAGTGTGGGTATGCAAATTGGTGTCTTGAGTACATTGGCTCCCAAGCGTAGCGGTGATATCGCTAGTCTGGCTGTTTCCGCCATGATCTGTGGTGCTTTCAGTACTTGGATCTCTGCCGCTATCGCCGGTATGCTTCTCTAGATTCTCTCAATTCTTTTTCCTCTACTATTTCCTTCATATCTTGTATTTATAGTCTTTATCAACAGCAACATCTCTTTTAATTTTTTTTTGATTCAATCTAATATCAATCAAAAGCTTAATTTATTGTTACCCGGCGAGAGTTTTTCCTTTTGACTGTGTATAATACTACATCTTGAAATATCTCGCTTGTAGTTCCCCGCTTCTTTTGATTTACTTTATATGATTTATTACACGTTGGCGTGTTGCCTTTAATTTATTATTGTTATCTCTCATTCTTTCTATTTCCATACTTTTAATCCCATTGCAAAAATAATTTCATGTGCTTCTGGATACACTTTACGAATAAAACACATACATATTACATGTGCTGGATCAAGAGAAACTAACGTCAGCATGTCGAACACTTGACATTTATCTTTTTTTTTTTTTTTTTTTTTTTTTTTTTTTTTTTTTTTTTTTAGTTGGCAATACATACTTGATGCGATCAGTGATCAGTAAATTGACTGTCTGGCAGATCAAGCTTTTCATGATTATTTGATTTACAATAAAATAAGGTTTAAGATAAGGTTCTCACTATGATTTGTACCACATAAACTAGCAATAAAAAAAAATTCAGGGTTCAGCTGTGTTCATTTAAAAGAAAACTTTCCTTTTTTCAATCCGTTAGCATATAAAAATGGCAGACATTTCTAATACGTATATACTTTTGCATAATAGTATCGACTATGGCTGAAAAATGCTCTTGAATGATCGCCATGTATGCTTGGAGTCGATATGGATTACGATCCTGTGACATGATTGGTCATTTTCGAGGTTTAAATTTTGGAAGGATATAATTGGTTAGCTGCAATTGAAGAAATCCCTCAACTTCTAGTATGTTGAAGACGGCCTAGAAAGCTTTTTACTGTTGAATGTCTTGCGCTTTTAATCATCGGAAATAGGAAGTTGGTGTCATTGAGACACCCAAAACATCACAGCCTCAATTCGCAAAAGGGCGTTCCAAATGACGAAGAAGGTAATTATTTTCTTCAAATCTTGCTTGCAACAAGTGAAATGTTCAAAAATCCATTCCTTCTTGCTTCCTAAAAGCAATTTCTAATTCTAAACCGCAGCAGAGCATACAGATTTTGGCACTCTTTCATAGTAAATCTATTGTAGATTTATGATGAATAGGTTAAAGGAATTACATACAATGATATACCCATAGTGTAAACAATTTGAATAGAACTTACCAATTTTAGTAGATTTATCTATCATCACGTTTAACGGCGTATGATTGGTGATTCTAGATTCTTTTTGTCTATATGCTACACAGCGAATTTTTTTTTTTTTTTTTTTTTTTCCATTTATGCGTGGGGGTTGACATGAGAGAAATGTGCTAGTATGTGTCTCGGGCCCATTCTCATATAAATCGCTTGTTATTTTTCGTACAACTTGCTTGGAATAGGGTGTCATAAACATGATTTACAAATAACCTAGTGTACTGATTTGCAATTGACAAACCCTTCATTTATTATTGTGATCATGTTAGTCGGAAAATCAAGAGGCTCTGTTCGAAAGAAAGAACATGATTCGTGTCGGATGCCAATAAAATGATGATATTTTGAGACAAAACTCCAAAAATGACCTACGACGTCATATGAGTTTGGTCTCTCCCAACCCTGGCCCTCTCATTCCAGATCCTTCCTCTTCATGGTTTTATATAAAAAGCTTTCGTTCGTTTGACCAATCCTTTTTACCCTTTCTTTTAGCCAATCCTTTTTAGAGTAACGCCAATTCAAAACAATAAAAAATTATGACAGATTCACAACAACCACACCAATATCCTCCCCCACATGAAGTGTACAGTGGAGGCTACCACCAGCCCGGTATGGACATGCATTCAGCTCAAGATCCCAGACAGCATGTTTACTCTTCGCAAGCCACAGCAGCAGCAGCAGTGCAAGCACCCTATTCAATGGTAAACCCACCTACATGTGAAATGTTATTGTTGGGAGATCTAACCTATGATATGTAACAGCAACCTGTAGGCCATTCATCGCCTCCTCCTCCTCAAAACCTAGGTTATAGGCCCATGGATGCAGCAGCAGCAGCTGTACCTCCACCAGCTCAAAATGCTGCTGAGCAGCCTTCAGAAGAACCTTTATATGTCAATGCAAAGCAATATCACCGTATTTTGAAGCGTAGAGCTGCTAGAGCTAAATTAGAGGAATTAAACAAACTGAGCAAGGCAAGAAAGCCCTATCTTCATGAAAGTAGACACAAACATGCCATGCGCAGACCTCGTGGTCCAGGTGGTCGTTTCTTGAGTAAGTGTTTTTTCAAGTTGCAAAACTCTAGATATGTATGCTCATTTTTTTTTTTTTTTTTTTTTTTTACGTTAATAGCTGCCAAGGAAGTCGAAGAGTTGGAGAGAACAGGCAAGATGCCCGGTCAGTCATCCCCCGATGTTAAAAAGACAGAAGCAAAAACCGCAATGCTCGATCAAGACCAACAGCAACACTCACAGCAACAACAACAGCAGCAACAGCATCAGCATCAGCAACAACAGCCTACCTGGGCCACTGCTCCTCCATCTGGTCCGCCCCAAGGCTACTCAAATGGCAATGCATATAACTAAATCATCTTGTAAATTCATTTTATACAGAATATCTCTATTTTACCTCTCTTCCATGTTGCTCTGATTCTTTTTATCTATTATATATTTATCAATTCAATCGCTTTTATTTATCGCACATTTTTTTTTAATAACCCCATAACTTTCTTAATTGTAAAAACACAAAAAGGCAATAAAATGTTTACTCGAAAAAATATGGGCATTTGGAATCATACATCTCCAATGCATGAAAGTATATTAACATTGGACACAAATCAAAGGAGTTTAAATAGCTAGCCATAGAGAAAGAGGTTGATGTCTATTGTTATATGAAAGGGCATTTGCTTATTGATGGATAATAAAGGTTGTTGGGGAGCACAAAGCAAGTTGAAAATCATCAGGCAATCAGCAATCTTCAGCTGCTAATGCTGGATAATATTCAAACGCCGTCAGATAGTTTATTTATACAAGTAGAGCATCGCTCACCAAAGCATTCAAAGCACATTCTTTTCTTTGTCAAGTACTTTTCTACATATATAAACAGAATGACAGAACCAAAGAATAGTTTCCCTCAAGCCCCAGTACTCAAGGTGCATTGGTAAGGCAGGCCCTTTTCGTAAATGATACTCGGACGATTTAAACAGGATACGCTTTCTTTGTTAGGTTTCACGCCATCGATAGGCCTATTATAGACCCTATTGCTATTCGTAAAGCCAAGCGAGACAAGACGTTGACGAGTATCAACTCAACTTCATCAGCTTCATCCATCGCTTCCGAATCGTCATTATCTTCTTCAGCGACATCCTGCAAAAACAAACCAAAGAATTGGGTTCCGTTTTCCAAGCGTGATAACACAGCATTGGAGAAGGCTTTCGAGAATGGGACAAAAGTAGTGCCTGTGAATGAAGATTACTTATTCCAAGTCGATATTTACAAGAGAGAGATCAGTCCGGTTTACTGGGAGGGGCCTGTTTTCGAAGTGCGTCGGGCTACATGGTTTATGCAAACAGATTCAAAGTGGTTACCATGCGAGGAAAATATGGCAAAGCAAATCGAACAAGGTTATCAGTAAGCTGTAAAAAAAAATTGTAAGCATCGAGTACCAAAATTAATTCATTATGCATTAGTAAACATAAACCAATCAGATCTGAACCAGTTGCTGCTGAAATGGTGCCCATAGTACAAGACAAAGAAAAGGACATTGGCCAAGTAGATCAAGTACTCTCAAAAGAAGAGCCACCATCCTCAACAGCGACGAAGCCTATCAACGAGTTGAAAGTGAATGAAGAGCAGAAGGAGTATCTGCTGGGACCTTATCTTGGACAATATGTCATCTACTCCAGCCCAACGCAAGCTTGGTTATTATAGTAAGTGCACATGTCAATCATGTACAAGCAAAACCAAAACGTCGCTATCAATATACTTAATGCTATATAACAGTGACACAGCACCAGCCAAGATCGCCAAGAGCTTTTTAGAAAAGTTGACCAACAATCAAAACTTGGGTGGCATCAAATTACTTCGAGGCTACAATGAAGTTGAAAAGGAGACTGCAGCGAAGAAGGAGCAAGAAGGCAAAAAGGATACAAAGACAGCAGATGAAGCAGATGCCAGCAAGAAACTACATTTAGATTTAGAAGACGATAAGCCAAGACTGTCGACCGATTCTGGAGATTTATCAAGAAACATCTCACCCCAAAAGAAGAAGGAATTGGAGGAGAAGGAAATGATACAACAACGCGCAGAAGATTATGATAACGAGGATAGTGAAGAAGATGTACGAAATATAGATCAAATCGTGTTTGTGATTCATGGGTAAGTGCGTTGGAATCAATCGCCATGTTGTGGTGTATCTCACAAACACTATATCAGCATTGGCCAACAGATGTCTGAGCGTATGGGTCAAAATTTTGTACATGGTAACGGAAAGAGTGTTTGCGTTTTATACTGTGCACGTATTCAAGTAACACTGTTTCTCCATTAGATGTTAATGTTTTGAGAAAGACGCTGAAATCAACATGGCCCATTGCAGTCTCAGGAACACAGCCTTTGGATCGTGCCAATGGCATCCAAGTTTTACCTATTCTTTGGAGAAAAGGCATCCTGTTTGGAACAGATGACACGGACCAAGATTCAAAGCTAGAGTCAGATATTGGTATCTCGGAAGATGATGATGGATGTCCCACGTTGGATGAGATTACATTAGAGGGTGCTCCTAATATCAGAACATTAGTCTCGGATGTTTTTCTTGACAGTAAGTTGATCAAAGCGCTATATATATATATATATATATATATATAGTACATAGACTGATGGATTCTAGTTCCTTTGTACTTGACGAGTAAATACCATGATTTGATGATCCATGTGGTGACAAAAGAGATCAACCGCGTGTACAAGTTATTCATTGAGAGAAATCCCTATTTCTTGAAGAACAATGGCCAGGTGTCAATTGTCGCTCATTCCTTGGGTGTAAGTATTCCATGTATACTTGAACCATGTCAGAACACAGATTCACTAAATCGGTACATGTGTAGTCATTGCTTGGATTCGACATTCTTAGTGTGCAGCCATTCACGTACAAACAAAAGCCAAATGTACAACAACAACAACAACAACAACAACAACAACAACAACAACAACAACAGCAAAACTCGTCTGCTTACAACGAAAAGAATCTTGCGACATTGAATTTCCCTGTGAAAAACTACTTTGCATTGGGCTCGCCATTAGGTATGATCATGCTGTTACGAGGCAACAAGATAATATCTCGCAAGACATTGACAGAACCACCACCAAAGCAAAACAACATTGATCATCCCGTGTCCTTTGTATATCCTGCTGCTGACAACATTTACAACATTTTCCACAAATCGGATCCAGTCGCCTATCGCTTAGAACCCTTGGTCGTTCGTCACTATGGAGCTAAATTGAAGCCTGTGCCTATCCCTTACATCAAAGGCGGGCTGAAGAGCATGTTGGATGCCGGCTTCAATGCAGGTAGTGATCTAGCGAATCGAGCAGGTGCCATGTTTGAATCTATTAAAACGGGATTTACCAGTAGCTTATTGATGCGTGGCTTGGGGTTCTCCAAACCATTGGAATACGCATCAGGTTCTGCTGAATTGCAGGAATGGCAATCTCAATCCAATCCCAATATCATGACAACGCGAGCCAATGCTAAAAGTGCATCCAAACTCAAGTGCCTGAACCCTACTGGTAGACTGGATTTCTATCTGCAAGAAGGGTTGCTGGAGAATGCTTATTTGAGTGCGTTGAGTGTGCATATGTCGTATTGGCAGGATGTGGATGTCGCTGGTTTCTTGATTCGAGAAATCTATCAAAACCAAAGTGAAGAAAAGAAATCCAAGACCATCACTGTTTGAACAACAATAAAAGAGAGATTGTCTATAGTTTATTTTGCAATGAGGCTTAATTCTTCTTGTCTGATGCTGCAGCTTCTTCAGCGTTACCACCAAGAGGTTGAGGGTTTTCAGGATCATATTGCTTTGGTAAGTTCAAACCAACACGGTTAGCAGAGAGTTCAATCTTTCTCTTTTGTTCCATCACAATAGCTGAATATAATGCACGAAGTTCCTATAAAGAGTGTGTGAGCAACAATAAGAGAGCACTGGCTTTGACATGTTATACATACTTTATGCTTTCTTGAACTTGTTAAAAACGTCAACACATTTTCAGCATTACTGTTTAATGCTTCAATCTTTGAAGGATCTTGGATATGTTGATTGTTGCGATAAATTGACTTCAATTCTTGTGCAAAGGTGGGGTTATTAGCAGCTTTTGTATACTAGTACAAGGGGTCATGTCAGATTTATGTGTCCACTGGGATGATGATGGACGATGCAATCTCAAGATACATACCTGAATGTTAACTTCTCTTAATAAACCACGGTAAAGAGACAGGTTTCTTGATAAAGACATTGAAAAAAGATGTATGTATGTATGTATGTATGTATAGGGAAAGAAAGAGAGAGAGAGAGAGAGAGAGAGAGAAAGAAAATCTGATAATTTCCAGTTACATGGATGCCCACTAAATATACAAGACTGTGGTTTCTATACCAGCAACAGCAGTAGTAAAAAAAATCTGGAGTGTGACCCATGGCCCAATCATGTTGATGATATCAGTTCGTTTTGATATCCATCATCATCACTGTCTCGAGAGCTATAGAAACGAAAATCCATCTTGCCATGTCAATATCCCCGGCATCAAGACGACATCGGATACTTTTTCTCTTTTGCATATTCTCTTTTTCTTGACACAAAATGAACCAGAATCAAGTCCTTCCAGATGGCACCTCATCCAAAGTAAATGTAGAGCGAATCAGTCAATACAAGCCTCATGCCATTACTGACCCCATTCTGCATTAGAAGTTCAACATTTGGCATGCCATCACTGAAAGAGCAAAACAAAAGCTACAAAAAAATCACGACAAAAAGCATCGGCAGCCCACAGACATGTTGGTCGTCAAAGCATGCTTCAAGTTCATTGATAATTTTTATCGAAGACTGTTCAAATCAAAGAAATGAATTTGCACGTAGGCTTTTTTTTTTTTTCATTCAAAATAAGAAAATGGTAATAAATGTGAATTTATGTAGGAAAAAGAAAAGGGGGCTTGTATGTGCGTGTGTTTAAAAGTTGCTATGGAAAGAGGGATAGGGGCAAGAAAGAAGAAAAAGGGATTAACGTTTATAGCGTGTCGTCTCTGTGTAAGAAAAAGAGTGCGAATTGTAAAAAAAAAAAAAGAAAAGAGAGAATAATTATAATAAAAATGTACACTTAAGAACCAAAATTAAATCCACCTTGAGGAACATCTACGTTGGATTGGAAGCTAAATGATTGCTGAGGTTGTCCTTCATCTGTCATGTCTTCGGCGTCCTCATCGTTGAAGTAACGATCGATAATGTGATATGCCTTCTTGTACACATCTTCGTTGCGATGTGTCTGCAATTGGTGAATCAGCTCCATGCCACCGCATTCTTCAATGTAAAGTGCGTATCTGTTGATGCCCTCGGGATCATTGGGACGATCTTGATCTCCAACCTTCAAAATGTTCTCTAAACCGTCCAATGCCACTTGTATAATCTTATTGTCGAGACCTGTCAACACATCACACAAGGGCTTGATGATACCTTGGCTGACCATGTATTGAATTTGTGCAGGCTTGTTGAGTCCACCACTGGTAGCATTGACAATAGCCCAACAGGCTTCCTTGCGTGTCTTGAATTCAGCAGTTGACAAGATGTGGACCAAGGGGGGAATAATGTTGCTTTCAATAACAGCGTCAATTTGAGCAGTGTTGCCAGCCGTGATGTTTGACACAGTCCAACAGGCTTCTTTGCGGATGGCTTCCTTGGGGTTACCCAAAAGAGAGGATAAAGCACCCAAGACGCCACAATTGATAATGACTTGTGTTTGTAAATCGTCACCAGTAACGATGTTACCTACAGAACGAAGAGCAGGTGTTTGCACGCTGGAGCTAGGGTGCATCAGTAATTCAACCAAACGACGGCAGACGCCTGATTCGATCACAGCTTGAATTCTGTCATTGTAGCCATCAGACAAGTAGGAAATAGCCCAACAAGCATCAATCAAGACTTCTTCGTCGGTGGAATAAATCAATTTGGCGAGCACAGGCAAAGCAGGGACCACCATCTCCCATGCAGGTTGAGGGTTCTTACCACGACACAAGTTGGAAAGTGTCCAGGTAGCATTACGCAGCATGCTCAATTTGTGTTGTTCGTTGAGGATGACCAACAATGGCATCAATGCACCTTGTTCCAATACGTAATCGCGACACACTGCACTATCACCAGCGATATTACCCAAAGCCCACACAGCCTACAAGAAGAAAGAGATGAGTTTTTCAACAACAAAAAAAAAAAAAAAAAAAAAACTACGCTACTTACTTGCTCCTTGACATCGGGAATGTTGCTGCTCAATAACTCAATGAAAATAGGGACGGCACCAGAGGCAATGACGACTTGAGTTTGGTCAGAGGAACCAGAGGCAATGTTGGTCAAGGCCCATGCAGCTTCAAACTAAGAGAGTGTGAAATGGAATCTTTTAGAAATTTCATTTCCTTTCTCAGCGCACACACACACACACACACACACACACACACACACAAAAAACTTACCTGTAATAAAGCATGTGTGGATCTCAAAAACTCGACAAACTTGGGGACAACACCAGTAGCAATGACATCCTTGATGGGAGGGTTCTTTTCCTTGGAGAGAAGCTTACGGAATTTGGTGGTGGCATCGTATTGTTTCTCAACATCGTTGGAGTTGACATCGGCAATCAAAGCGACCAAATTGGCGTGGAGCTATCAAACAGAGAGTGAGTATTTTTCTATCTAATACCATCACAGAATAGACTTACATTGATATCATCCTCGACTTCAATGTCGTCCTCACTGTCAGACATGGACGCGCTAGGGATGTTCATGTTACGACGCTTGGACAAGTTTTCCTCACGCTTTTGCTTTCTGATTTCGACAGTGTGCTTTTGTCTACGATTTCTCACTTGATCAGAGCCGAAAGCATCCTTGTTTTTGAAGGCGTTCTTTCTATCAGCAACTGCAGTTTTATCCATCTCTCTCTAGTGTGCGTGTGATATATTCAGGAAGAAAAAAAAAAGAAAAGGGGTCGAGTAAAGGGAACAGGTGAAATTTGATTTAAAAAAAAAAAAAATATTTTTTTTTTGTTTACAGACGCGTCACACCCACTACAGTACCAAAAGTGGAGGGATTTCATGCTGCGTAAATTGAGCATTTCTTTCTTCAATTATGCTACCTTTCCAAAAACAAGTCTTGACTGAAATTGTAACAGAAGATGGCTTGTTGATTATATCACCTGGATTAGGCCTATTTCAGATTCTGTGCCATCTGGTGCAAGTGTATTCGGGCGGAAATCACTTGATTCTGTTGATCAATACATCCAAAGAACAGGACGAATTATTGCAGGAGCAGTTGATTGCTCTGGGCGTATCTAGTCAGCATGTCATTCGACGCATCGAGTACAATACGCCAGCAGACAAGAGAAGCAGCATGTATCGCGAAAGTGGCATCTTCTCCATCACGTCCAGAATTTTGGCAGTAGACATGTTGCTGGAGCGTATTCCCACCTCATTGATCAATGGCATCCTCGTCTATAATGCGCACAGGTACATCGGTGGTTCATGCAAGTCATGACATGTAACACTCATGCTTTCCGCTTGTTTTAGAGTGAGACCCAATTCGATGGAAGAGCTGATTTTAAGAGTGTACAGAGAACACAACCAAGAGGGGTTCATCAAGGCATTCTCGGATCGACCTGAAGCATTTGTCACTGGATTTGCGCCCTTACAAAACACCATGAAATCCCTGTTTCTACGCAAAGTGCATTTGTGGCCTCGATTTCAAGTGACAGTAACAGAAGACTTGGCTAAAACAAACAACAATGTAATTGAATTGCGACAGCCTATGTCAGAGTCCATGGATATCATACAGCAAAGCCTCGTGCAGTGCTTGGAAGAGACGTTGGCGGAATTAAGACGAGCCAACCCACACATCGACGTCGGCGAGTTTACCATAGAGAATTCGTTTTTCAAGTCATTTGATGCCATTGTCAGACGTCAATTGGATCCGATATGGCATAGAGTGTCTTCAGCTTCCAAGCAGTTGGTGGGTGATTTGAAGATTTTGCGTCAGCTGTTAGGGTAGAACAAGAGAACTTTGTGCTTGTGTGCTCATGCTAACGTCTTACACTAGATATTTGACCACCTATGATTGTGTGTCGTTTTACAGCTTTATAGAGACAGTGATAGCCGCCAACACTGCACAGGATGGCAAGCAGATCAAGCAATCGCAATGGTTACTATATGAAGCTGGTAACAGAGCCATTACGGTGAGTAGATTAGAGGCATTCAATAAACATGCCCTTATTGAAGTGTGTATATGATAGGCTGCTCGCAAGAGAGTGTATGTAAAGCAAGGCGAGAGAGAGTTTGACGAGTTACCAAAACGACAGGACAACTCCCTCATACCGCAGCATATTAAACTCGTGTTGGAGGAACAACCCAAATGGCAGCTGTTGAAGAGCATTTTGGCAGAGATTGAACAAGACAACTTGCAATTGAATGACGGTGAAAGTGCGCCTGTATTGATCATGGTGTCTGAAAAACGAACTTGCTCGCAACTGAAGGACTATATAACTCGCATCAATGAAGAAGAGCCATTCTTGGACAAGATTGCACACAATTTCTTCAAATGGAGAGTCAATATTTACCGCATGCAAGTAGCAGAACCAGCAAAGCCATCACCAGCGCCCACTGCCATGCGAGGCAGGCCACCACCCAACAAGCGAAGACGCGTCAGAGGCGGATCAGCAACAGCTGCATCTTCTGCAAGCAATAGCAGATCATTGACACTGGCAGAGACGTTCAAAGACGACGTGGCGGACACCATCTCGGCACTGGACAGTCGTGAGAACGGCGAGGAGGAGGAGGAGGAAGATGAAGATGACACATTTCGAGGCGTAGGTCCCACCTTGGATTCAGAATTGATACACAACCATCAGGATGACATATTACCAACCTTTGAAGAGATACCCAATACATCACTGATCACAATCCAGTGCTACGAAGATGATGCCAACGAGCAAGTCTTGCAAGATGCACAGCCTCGCTTCATTATCTTGTTTGACCCTAATCCCGCATTCGTACGTCAAATTGAAGTGTACAGAGCACAACACCCCACAGTTGATATTCGCGTGTATTTTATGCTGTACGAAAACTCAGTGGAAGAGCAAAACTACCTTAGTTTAATCCGAAAAGAAAAGGGGTCGTTTGAGCGTCTGATTCATGAGAAATCCGTCATGGCTATCCCATTACCCGACAAAAGACAAGAACGACAAGATGCCATTATACGTCCATCCAGCTTAAACTCAAGAATCGCAGGCGGTCAAGCCAAGGCTGTCACTGGGCCTCAGATTGTTACGGTGGACATGCGTGAATTCCGTAGCTCATTGCCACCTATATTGTACGCTGACGGTATCAAGATTGTGCCTTGTACATTGCAGGTGGGCGATTACATTCTGAGCCCCGATATGTGTGTAGAACGTAAATCAATTGCAGATCTCGTTCAATCCTTTAGTTCGGGCAGACTGTAGGTCAATCTCAGATGTGATACAAAACAAATACTAACTGTTATTAGGTACACTCAATGTGAACTCATGTCTGCGTTTTATAAAATACCTATCCTGTTGATTGAATTTGACCAAAACAAGTCGTTTTCATTGCAAGCTGTATCTGACATGCGAGAGAATATTCGAGTCACCGATCTATCCTCCAAACTGGTCTTGTTGACGCTGGCATTTCCCAAGCTCAGAATCATCTGGTCCTCTAGTCCACACGAAACCGCTAAAATCTTTAGTGAGCTCAAGGTAACAGATTTAATTTAACAGTAGTGGTAGCACTTGATCTAAAAAAAAAAAAAAAAAAAAAAAAATCTATTATAGAAAACTGAACTGGAACCTGATTCTGAATTTGCAGCGAGTATTGGCGCAGAGGGTCATGAAGATGGAGACACTGTATATAACATGACACCACAAGAGATCCTGCGGAGTATGCCAGGCGTAACCTCTGCCAACTATCGCATCCTCATGAACCATTTCCAAGATTTGGATCAGCTCTTCCATTCACAACAAAAGACATTGAAGGAACTGATTGGGGAGGAGTTTGGGCGAAAGTTGTACAACTTTATACACAAGAAACACACGAGTTGATGAAATACAGTAGTAGCTTTCTTTTTCACTCTCTTTCTCTTTCTTTTTTCTTTTTCATCTACCTGTATTATCATGGCTAGACAAACTGTATCCGAGACAAAACTCTTGAAGATTCTCGAATTAAATGGAAAATTAAAACGTCAACTGGATATCCCAAGAATCCCTGTTTCCGAAGCGAGTCGATCGTAAGCATGTTGCTGCACACGAGTCTCCCGTAACATTGTATTCACTCACACGTCGTATGTATAGATTGATTGATTACTGTCAGTCCACCCCTGATTTAATGCTACCTTCAGTTTGGGGCAATAGACATCCAGACCCTTTTGCCGAGCCTGCAAATGGATGTGGTGCGTCATGTCAAATCATGTAGACATTTGTTTTATTCATTATATACCTTTTTATACCCTTCCTTATAAAGCACATGCCTTTTGGCTTTACCAGGATACAGAGTTATGTCATCTTTAATATACTAGAGCATTTACTACTTTGCTCGAATAAACATCTACTAGTAAAACCAAACATTCAAGACAAAAAGGAAAAAAAAAAAAAAAAAAAAAAAAAAGTGCATATCATTTGAAAATGTCATTCATATGCAGCCCAAAGCAGAGTTTCCAAACAAACAGATTGATTGATAATCTCTTGCTCCATAGATTGGAATTCCTTAATAGGGTACGATCATCTCATCTCTTGGTGTTGGTAGGTGACCCTCTTTTGATTAGATCACCGCTGTTCATGCTTTCATAAATAAACAACCATCTTGTTTTCCATCTCTTCTTCTCCTTCTTTATCATTTAATTATCCAACATGGCTTCTCACGTTCTTCGCCGTTCTCTTGCTACTTCAGCTTCTTCCACTGTAAAGATTGGTTTAATTCCTGCTGACGGTATTGGTAGAGAAGGTAGCGTTTAACATGTCAAGAAGCAGATCAGAAATTCCAGGGACCGATCACTCATTATTCCTTTTTTTTTAATTCTAGTTATTCCTGTATGTTTTGTCGATAAATATCCCTTACAAGTAAACGAGCCAACAGCTAACGCATTGAACTTTATGTAGGCTGCCCGTCAAGTTCTTGAATCATTGACATCGGGTCCCAAGTTTGAATTTGTTGACCTTGATGCTGGTTTTGAACTCTTTCAAAAGACCGGTACCTCTCTTCCTCAAGAAACCATTGACACTTTGAAGAATGATTGCCATGGTGCTCTTTTCGGCGCTGTCAGGTAAGTCAACTGGCGGGCACTTGGGTTATGTTGATGCTCATTGGCATTTACGTGCAAATACGATAGTTCCCCATCCCACAAAGTCGCTGGTTACTCTTCTCCCATTGTTGCTTTGCGCAAACATTTGGACTTGTACGCTAATGTTCGCCCTGTCAAATCTGTTAACTCTCCTGCATTCCCCAACCAAAAGTTGTTGGATATGCTCATTATCCGTGAAAACACTGAATGTTTGGTAAGTAGCTTGTGTAGATGATAGTGAAAATTCTGACGTGTTGGTTTGTGTGTATGTATAGTACATCAAATCAGAGAGAGAGGAGGTAGATGCCAACGGTTTAAGAGTGGCATGGGCTGATCGCAAGATCTCTGAATATGCTTCTCAACGTATTGGTAAGATGGCATTCAACATGGCTTTGACTCGCGAAAAGCTTCGTTCTCAAGTGCCTTTGGCCAAGCGTTTCTGGCAACACAACCCTCGCGTCACTATTGTCCACAAGTCCAATGTCTTGAGTGTCACTGATGGTTTATGGCGTGAAACTGTACGTGGCGTCAAGGAAAAGAATGCTGAACTTTACAAGGGCGTGGACATGGAAGAGCAGTTGGTGGATTCCATGGTATACCGTATGTTCCGTGAACCCGAGGCATTTGATGTTGTTGTTGCTCCTAATCTCTACGGTGATATCATTTCTGATGGTGCTGCTGCTCTTGTCGGTTCTTTGGGTGTCGTTCCCTCTGCCAATGTAGGTGATCACTTTGTTATGGGTGAGCCTGTTCATGGTTCTGCCCCTGATATTGCTGGCAAGGGTATTGCCAACCCTATCGCCTCTATTCGCTCTGCTGGTATGTTGTTGGAACATATGGGTTATACCTCTCAAGCTCTTAAGGTCTATGATGCTGTTGATGCTGTTTTGGCTGATGCCTCTATTCTTACTCCTGATCTTGGCGGCAAGAGCTCCACCAGTGAGGTCACTGAAGCTGTTCTCAAGAACCTTCGTGCCTAAGAGGGGGAAAAAAAAAAGCATTGCTCGTTTTGATTCATTTTGTACATTATTATAATAAACTACTAGAGTGAGATACATTCTTTGTATTGGATATTGAATTTTCATAATAATGATAATTTCGGAACTGATTACATTTTATCTAATGAGGTAGAAACTAATGTGATTAATGTTGCAAAAGCATCCGAGAGAATAGTAGGCCGCTTGATTTGCCATATAAAAGAGACATAATTGTAAATGCTTTATCCTTTGCTTAATAAGCAGCCGCTAAACCATTCTTTCTAGGATCACTGGCAGCATGGAGTGTACCATTATTGAAACGTCTGATAGCTTGAGAAGCTGACACAGTACCTGTCTCTGCCAAATTACGAAGCTACATTTTCAGAGAGAAAAAAAAAAAAAAAAAAAAAAAAACGTTAGAGCAAATTGTGTGTGTTCACCGCCTCTCTGGATAATTGTAATCCTTCTTACCAAATGTCCCTTTTGCGTGAGCACAGATAGCACTTCGCTGCTGTATCCTGTTTCAAATTGCACTTCGTTTGGAATTAATTGATGGTGGATACGAGGGGCCTTGACAGCTTCAAACACGTTTTGGTGGAAATCGTAGGTATTGAGGATTACATTTAGAGTGGCAGTCAAAATTTGGGATCCACCAGAACCGCCCACGACGAGCTCTAAATTGTTATTCTCGTCTTCTATGATGGTGGGTGTGATAGTGGATAGGGGCCTCTTGAAAGGTTCAATGTAGTTGTACGGACTAGGATACAAGCCAAAGTTGTTGGGAACACCAGGGATGCTGAAATCATCTAATTCATCATTCAAAATGACGCCTGTAACGGGATCCATAAACTTGGCGCCAAACATGAGGTTCACTGTCGAAGTCAATGAGACAGCATTGTCATCCTTATCAATCACTGATAGATGCATTGTTCCATGAGGGTCATTGCTTTCATATTTGGGCTCGTAATAGCTGTAATCATGTGTTTTATCCTAAGCAAAATATCAGTAGAGCCCAACCATGATCAAGGCTAGAACTTACATCCGTCATGTTCTTTCTCACTTGATCTGCCCACTCTTTGCTAATGATCTCCTCGATGCGCTTTTCGTTATCCAGAAAATCGGGATCGCCGATCTCTGTACGGAATGCGAATCCATATTTGATGGCCTCAACAAAACGATGTATGTTCAAAGGTGTAGGGCCAGTAACATTGAACAGATAAGGCTCAATGATATTCAAAACACTCAAAAGGGCAGGACCACTCGTGGGAGAGGATGTAGTGATCACTTTGCGTCCGTGATACCAAGTGCTGATAGTAGGTCGAATCAAAGGTCTGTAATTCTTCATATCCTCCAGTGTCAAGATGCCTCCTGCTGCTTGTGTAGCATTGACGATTGATTCAGCAATTGTACCCTATCTTGTTTGTTACACAATCAGAATATTCGTCATCCATGTAGAAACAAACCTCATAAAATACATTGGGCCCCTCTGTTGCAATGGTTCGTAAAGTAGCGCCGAGCGTAGGTCGCTTTATGATATCGCCAGGCTGAGCAATCTTACCCGAGGGTGCATACACTTTGGAAAATTCAGGAGATGCTTCGAGCCAGATTTTTGATTTCTGAAAAATAGACATGTTATTCAGATAAGTCATGCACTTTGTTTATCTCTATGGTTTACTACATACCACGAGTTTACTGTACAGCAAGTCTGTTACTTCAAATCCACCTTCAGCTACCTGGATGGCTGACTCGAAAAGGTCTCCCCAAGGCACTTTGCCATGTCGTTGATGGGCTAATTCAAATCCTCTAATCTCGCCACTGATAAAATGACAATATATAATCAATATACCGTCGTTCTTTGCCCATACCAACAACAACAACAACCCCCTCGTTGTACTTACGGTACGCCTACAGATAGCCCACCTATTTGAGCAGCCATGGGATTGTCCACAAACATGTCTCTATAGGAAGCAGCAGGTGCAGTCTCTCTGAAATCAATGTGCTCGTAGTCGGTGCCATTCCGAATCAGCATGAATCCACCACTAAAAAAAAAAAAAAAAAAAAAAAAGATAGAATTTGTCAGCGTTTCCTTATCTCTCTTCCCATGACGTTGAGGACATGAACCACAACTACAACAATGGACTATTTATTACCCGCCGATACCTATCAAATGTGTTAAACCAATGAATATTACGCCATTTCTGACAATGCTTATTTCATTTTGATCAATCCAAGAGGACTTACCAGTAGCAAAGCTATTCACAACACCAATACAAAGAGCAGAGGCAATGGCAGCATCAACTGCGCTACCGCCCTTTTTCAAAACTAAATTGTATGTCATCAGATGGACTGATCTTACCATATGTCTGATCACTTACTTTTCAGGCCTGCTTCTGAGCATGTCTCCAATTCAACAGCAACAGCGCCCTGTTGACCTACCACGAGATGTGGAGTAGTTACAGAGTGTTCTATCCAGTTTCAATTAGTAAGTATATAGTCGTCTCTGTAGCCGATTGATGTCTGTATGGTTGGTACCTGAAGTATCTTTATGTAAAAGTGACACAACTACGCCTACAGATGAAAAGACAAGTAATGCTGCCAATGTCACAAGGAATTGATGGCTTCTGCTGCTTTTTTTCTCCACATTTCTTAATAACGCTTGTCTCTCTTCGTCATTGATTTTTGCCATTGTCTAGTATATTTGAATGAAAAATCAAAAAGCAAAAGAAAGAAGAGTGAATCCCTTATTTTTTTTCGCATCTTCAATAATTTATACTAAAATTGCTTGATTTAGAGCACAATTCAATGGAAATTTCCCACACTCAAATTTCCGTGTTGATCACAGTAACATGACCCAATATGAGTCAATCACACAAATTGGACATTCGAGCCTGATCCAATGCATGGTAGCATAGATGTAGCATTTGGAGGTATAGTACAAATGTCTTTGATTCGTAGTTGGTCTAATGGCCAACACCGATTAGAACCTCTTGGAGATTTGCTAGTTTTATCGAGTGAAGCTGAGTAATTTTTAGGACACACATAGTCTTGTTGTCAGGCACAGGTTAATTACTTGTTGTCAGGCACAGGTTAGTTACTTGCTGACAGTACGAGTGCTTGCAAAGGTTGATGCAAGTGTAAGAGGGCGAAATTATCACGGGCTCCCTATTCAACTGTTACATAAAATGCCGAAAAAAATGAGAGTAGCACCCTTAAATGCGCCTAGAAACGTTGTAAAGTTGTCAACAAGAAGACCAAGTTATAGGCCACTGTCACTTTTGTAAATGTTACTATGGTGCTCACAGAAAGTGATTGTTCTCTGATTGCTAGGCCACAGATCTACGACATGATAGTGTCACACAAGTATTCCCATTCCCAGGGTATCGGATATGTCTACTGTAAATAAATCTACCGCATGTCGCATCTTATAGCTTGCAAAGAAGAATATCTGCAAAATGTCAATTACGGTCTACCTGATAACTGGTTGCGCCATCATCTGTAACAGATACTCAACTGCGGTATTTGAAGGTAGCTTTGAAAGTGCTCAGTTCCAATTCTCAACATGCTACTCATAAGGTCATCTCACTTTCGAACTGGCACCAACAGAAAACCCCATTATAAAACAGCACCACGCCAACAGGGGATTCCCCCAAATAAAGCGCTCAAACACAGTTTTAGAGAAAACATCTCACTCGACATCAAAAAAAAAAGAAGACACCAAGGATGACACACTGAACAAAAGTCAATTTAAAACAAGTAGCAAATGTAGAGCAATACTTCTTACGCGAGAGAATTAAGCAAGAAGACACATGGAAAAATGAAGCCTTTGGTATTCCACTGATACAGTCATTTGAAGAGACAAATACTGATTATCTTTTAATATAGCTAACTGCACGGCAGAAGGCAAGCGAGGATACTATTACCATTGCTGCCTATTTATTACAGTAAAAATTTGCCCTATTAAGGGAGCTCATGAATTTTCGAGGTCCTCAAGGGTAGCTCAAGACATGTGGTGGTTCTGAACAAATGGTCCCTGTCTTAAAGCTGATGCAATGCTCCTCTCTACTAGACAAGACACTACTTTTTATCAACAGTAATGCCGTTCTCTCTCTCTCTCTCTCTCTCCCGGCACTCCAAGCAAAAGGTTCCTTTCACAACATCATAAAGCAAGCATATTTTAATCATTTTTTGGCATGCCTTTTTATTGATATTTTTATATACTTAATTTTGTCATATCCCACACAATTGAATCAAAAACACGTTTCATGATGAGATTGTTTATGTGAGTTGTGTTTTATGTTGTTGCTGTTGTTGCTGTTGTTGTATTGTTATTGTTTAGTTCTACAAGTGTTGTTGTATTCATTCATCCACAGAAAAAAATCAATTTATTTTTCCTACATGTCAACAGCATATAAATTAGCATCACAAGCAAACATCCCATTTCACACACACACTCAAAAACTTACGGGAATCTCAACTTCACCAGCATCAATGGCAGCACAAAGGTCCTTGGGGTTTTGACCATCAACGGTACAACCAACAGAGAAAGCGGTACCAAGGATTTCCTTGACGGTACCAGAGAGCTCACGAGCCAAAGACTTGAAACGCATGGTACGAGCAATTTCAATGATATCCTCAAGAGCGACATTACCACTGTGCTTGATGTTCTTCTCCTTCTTACGATCACGGAGAGGTTCCTTGAGAGCCTTGATGACCAAAGAAGAGGCAGAGGGGACAACGGAAACTTGAGCTTGACGGTTTTGGATGGTCAATTGGACAGTGACACGGAGACCCTTCCAATCCTTGGTACCCTTGGCAATATCTTCACCAACCTTCTTGGGGGACAAACCAAGAGGACCAATCTTGGGAGCAAGAGCACTAGAAGCACCGACTTCACCACTGTATATAAAGTTGTTAGATATAATGCAATACTAATATGAGTATTATTTTTTTTTCCATCATTTACCCAGTGGCACGAAGATAGATAATCTTAACCTCAGAGGGATCGAACTTGGGAGGCATACTAGATGTGTGTCATGGGAGTGTTAATGAATGCAATGGATGGATGGATGGATGTATACGTATATACCTGTGATATGTTGAGAAAGGAAGGTTTTTGGACGTTGGATACTTTGCGCTTCATTAAGTCTCAATGCATTTCCTGGCATTTGCGCTTACCATTGGCATAGGGATTGGGAGGAGTCGATGTGGATCTAAAGTGCCAGTAAGCGCGCTGTCCGGGCCGGCTTGATTTCGTTGTATATCCACGTTAAATATGTAACGAAAGACGTTTCAATGTAATTGTGTCTACCATGGTATATTATGCTATAAATGACATGTCAATCAAAGTAACGATCGACGCAAGTTTATGCATGGAGCAGATGTCATTTTCTTACATTAGTATCAAATAGCATGTTATTTATCAAGCATCATCTATTGGCGTATTTGAAGCAAATGCCAAATGCCTACAACAATGCGACTGTTTACACACACACACACACACACACACACTTGCGAGAGAGAGAGAGAGAGAGAGCCAACCCCCCATTTTCTGCTGCTCTACAATAATCAAATTCACCCATAGCACTTGTTTGAGATACTCCTTTTTTTTTTTTTTTTTTTTTTCTTGCCTGGTTGTTGTTTCTTTGTACAACAATTAATAAACATTTCTTTCTTCCTTCTTCATCTATTATTCATATAACAAGTACCTATTTCATTTGAATACAAGTATTCCGTGAAACATGTCTTTTTCAAAATCTCAGGGAAAGAAACAAGAAGGCTCAGCTCAGAACGGTGGTAATGGTGGCCATCAACAAAAGCAACAAAAGTAAGTGCGCCCAATAAGCGTCATGTTAAAATGCCATAGCTAACATGGTCGTATACAGTCGCAGCAATAACAGCAATAAGAAGTGGGCCAACAACAACAATAGTGCTGCTGGCACCGCTCGTAACAACCACGCGTCAACAACAACAGCAACAGGTATTGAACAAGACGCTACTACAACAAAGCAACTTCATGACCGAATGCTTTTTCTGCTTGGTAATTTAACAGTGAGTGTCTACAATCAGAAATTGCATCAATGGCATACTCATCAGAAAACAGGGCACACTGGTGGAAGCAACTGTAAAAGACGGATGCAAGTTCAAAGGTATCTTTCATGGCGCTTCAACAGAAGGTGATTTAGGCATTGCCTTGAAATTAGCACAAAAGATTTACGATCCCAATGCACCTATCGACAAGGACAAGACCAACCCCAATCCCATCAAAAACACCTTGCTGATTTTCTCCAATGATTTGGTCGAGATAAATGCTGTCAATGTGGATTTCTCTAGCAGCTGTGGTACCGAGACAAATGATCGTAATAGTAAGTTGGGTTTGGAGGTTTCCAGCGTAATTGCCGCTAACACGAACACTCTGCTCTCTTTCCAATCAGCCTTCAAAACCGACACAGATATCAGTGGAAGATTGGACATCAAAGAACGTGAATTACATAAATGGGCACCCACCGAAGACGATCACAATGGGCCATTGGAGGGAGGTTTAGAATTAAACGACAATGATGCTCATGGAGGTGGATCATGGGACCAATTTGCTGCCAACGAGAAACTGTTTGGTCTCAAGACAGATTTTGATGAAGAAATTTACACCACACCTTTAAACAGATCTGCTCCTGGATACAAGGATCGCGAGAAACGTGCTATTAAAATGGCAAACGAGATTCAAAAGACGGCAACCACCAATGTACACATGCTGGAGGAACGTGGTTTGGCGATTGATGATAGTGGCATGGATGAAGAGGATTTGTATGGTGCTGTTGTGCGTGAGGGTGTTAGTAACCCCAACAAGTATGTACCTCCTGCTCTTCGCAAGCTTCAACAACAGCAGCAACAGCAACAAACTCAAAAGAAGGAAAAACCTGTTGCTGCTGGCAATCCACTCAACAAGCTCATTACTTCAGATTTGCCTAAAGCTGCCTCCAACCCCTCACCTATTGCCAATCTCCCCACCACGCGTCGTGAGTCCAGTGAAAAGAACAACTCGGGAAGCAATGAGCCACCTAAGCGTATTGAAGCTGAAATTGCAACTACATTTAGGCATTTTGCTATGATGGAAAAGGACAAGTTGCATGCAAAGAAACAAGCACTACAGAAAAAGGAAAAGGATGGTCGTTTAGCGGAACTCAAGGCATTTCATCAATCTTTCAAGTTGAATGTGCCTATTCCTGCTGATTTGGTGCCATTGCTATCTAAAAAGAAGGCGCCCATCTCAAATGAACAGGTGAGCAGTGATTCTGCCAACAACAGGAACATTGCGTCGCCTGTCAAAAAGATCTCAACACCTCCTCTTCAACAAGCTACGACCGCCACGCCTGCAGCAACAGCAACAACAGCAAAGAAAGTGTCATCGCCAGCTCCTCCTGCAGTGGCCTCTCCTACTACTTCTCCTGCTCCTTCATCACCTGCACCCGCAACCACTACTGCTACAACCACAACGACAACTACCACTGCACCTTCCTCAGCAACATCCAATTCTTTCAAATTCAATGTAAAAGCCTCTTCCTTTAAACCAAACCCATCTGCTGCAGCTTTTGTTCCTGGAGGTGGAGCTACTGCTGCCAGTAGATCGCCTGCGCCTGTTCATATGGGTATGCCCATGCCACATCATACATCCACCACAACAACTGACGATAATAGCCATCCTCATACCTTCTTTGGCGGCGGTAATGGACGTCAGAGCAAGAAAGGTAATGGACCTGTTGAACACCTAACGATGACAGAAGCCTTTGTTCCCTCCTTCATTGACAAGAACATACCAGCAAGCTCTGTTGGACCTACTTGGCCATTTGGACATAAATCCTATCGTGTGCAGTTTAGTCAATTTGGCTACGATGAAGATGTCTACAGCTACCCTTCACCCAACTATGGCTACTATCCTACGCAGTACCGATATCCTTTCCCTCATCACCAGATGCCATATCCTCAATTTGTTCAACCACCTCCTATGCCACCTGGTGCCTACAGCCCTCAGATGGCCAATGTATCGCCCCATGGCTCACCCTTCCCGCCTCCACCTCCTTCTGTCGCTGTTCCTGCTCCTCCTCCACCTCAACAAGTGCCACCCCAAGGCTACCCTTCGCCGCAACAACGATCCCCCATGGTACCACAACAAATGCCTCCACCTCAACTCTATCAATATGGCGGCGGTGCTCCCATGATGATGCGTTATCCTCCTGATATGATGATGCAAAGGCCTGTGATGGTCGAGACGGTGCCTTACTCTCCTCACCATCCACAACAACAACAACAACAGCAACAACAACAAGATACACCAGGTAATTAGAGTGGCTGTTGTACTTTTTTTTCTTCTTCTTCTTCTTCTTTTTCTTGGGGTTTTAATGCAAAACGTATAGCTACAACGGATTCAGGCACAGATACACCAGGATCTCCTTCAAACTAGCAAAGGGGAGATGCATTCATGCCCATAGCAAGATAACAATAATAATAACACAAAAAAAAAACAAAAATAAAAAACATTTGAAAAAATTACACTGGTTGACTACTACTGCTGCTGCTGCTGCTGCTGCTGCTGCTTTTGACTCAACAAGCCTTGCTTGATGTCTTCTGATTTCTCTTTCATGATCTCAATCAGTTGCTTTCCTTGTTCTCGCACTTTTCTGATGTTTTCATCCATCACATGTTGAAGATACATTTCAACAGACATTTGTTTCTGTTCCGCTGTTACTGGTGGTGCTGAATTAACGTCCAATGTCATGGCAGGTGCATTTGTTGCTGTAGTGTTGTTGGAGTGAAAAAGACGACGTTGACCATCGGCAGTAAAGACACTGCGTGTGCGACCAACCACACCATCTGCACTGGAAGAAGCAGTACCTGTAGTAGCCATAGAGGGTGTTCTGATGTGTGCTGCATTGCTGTTTGGGATTGCTGTGGCTGCTGCTGATGATGATGATGTAGTTGTGGTGATGGGAGATAATGGACACTCACCAAAGATATCCATGGCATTGACTGTCCTACTGCTTACACTGTGCATGGGTGTGGACTGAAGGTATTTCATTTGCTTAGCCAAAGACGCTGCTACGTCTGAATTGCAGCTTCTTGTAGGTGAAGTAGGTGGTCTTTTTGGAATGGATGTTCGACCCGATTTGGATAGACTGAGCGTCGTTTTCTTGGGCACGATGGCATGCTCTACTTGTCTTTGTTTTCCTTTGTCGCGGGACGGTGTGGTGCTGGTGGAGAGAGGCACTGGGTCTTCATTTTCATCACTGGATAGCGTGCTTTCTGAAGATTGCGGCGGTTCTGCAGATGCTGTCGTGGGCTTGTTAAATTGGATGGGAATAGCAGCTAATGGTTTATCAAGTAGGATTGGATCTGGAGGAGGAAATACGGGGGACATGAGCAAGGACTCATCGTCAGGTAATGGTTCTTGTGCTTGTGCTTGTGTTTGTAATGGCGGTAGCACTCTGGATGAAAATGAAGATGCTATTGAAGCAGTTACTGGTGGTTCTGTTGTAGCTGCTGCATGTGGTATGGTTGGCGATGGTGTTGGTGCCTTCTCTTTGACTGTTTTAGTTTGCTGTGGCTCTCTCTTCTTGGTAGATGTTGATGTTGATGTGCGCTTTGGTCTTGGCTTGTCCATCTTCTCTATCAATGATGGCTTTTTCACCTGGCTACTGCTGCTACTGCCTTCTAACGATCGCTCCACAGCCAAAGAGGGAGAGGACGAGAGGTCCAAATTTGAGAAAATGTCTACATGTGTTCTTTTGCCAGCGGACGGTAACAATCTTTGTCGTGTTCTTCTTTCGGTTGATTTGTTGCCATAGGTCAATGTGGGTTTTTTGACATGAGCTGGTATATTCAAAAAGTGATTAATGTCCCAGATACTATCGTCTTCCTCTTGCTCTGGTTTTCGCTTTTGTGGCACCATGTTATCCCCTTGCTGTTGTACCTCTTGTGCCTGTGGAGGTGGAGGTGGTGGCGGTAATGCTAGATCCAACTGACTTTCAGCTGTTTTATATGTGTCGCTGGATGCAGTACTGGCTGTTGTATCTCTTCTGTTATTTCTGCTACTGCTTTTGGTGCCAAGTTTTCGTTGTTGACTGAAAAAGGGACATGCGTCGTTGAGTTGTCTGTGTAAAGCCCTACAGAGATGCACATAGGCAGACATTAGGAAACCTGTTGTTACTTGATGCTCCTAGGCAAAACTTACAATGCGTCTGTCGTCTTATCCGGCTCCATGATAGTAGCTTTACAATATGGACACTTGATTCTAGCTGTGTTCTCTAATGTGGGTGTGAAATAAAACCCTGCGTCTGACAGCTGATGATAATTTCCAGTTGAGCTTTTTACTTTCTGTTCGTATATGAGCTAATCTGTATTACCTTGGATGCCACTTGGAACCGTCTACTCTTTAAACTCTTGTTGGGTGGCCAATAATGGTGATGATTGAACGTTGCAAGACGAGCTGATCTCATAACTTTATGTTGAGGTTGCGTGGTAGGGTCCTTTTCATTCACTGTCAATGCTCTGTTGCTGGATGCTGCAGCGTCAGGGAAATTTAGCAATGCCCAAGGGCATGCGGGTGATTCAGTGGCATGGCGAGTATAAGGCGATTGTCCCGCTTTCCAATGACCAAGATCAATATCGCACATGAAGCAGCGTACACTATCAACTGTCCTGGGCCTACGCATGAAATAGAAGCCAGCTTTTGCAAACTATGGTAACAGAGTGAGTCTCAAGGTTAAGAGATAGACACTCAACTTGTACTTACAGTTTCTGGTTTATGATACTGTTGCTTGTTAGCATATGGCCATTTCAATGTGTTATTTTTGAAGGAATCGATGCGATTCTGCAATATATTCATAAGGAGGTGGCTATTCAAGTAATAACGAGGAAAAAAAAAAAAAAAAAAGAGGTCGCGCCATCAATGCCTGTGCTGAAAACACGTAGTCCTGTTATAGGCATTCAAGCGCAGCGTGCTTGGACGCAATTTTCAATTCCTTGAAGGCCATGTGTGGATTCTCTGCCATGGTTTTACACAATTGGGCAATTCGCTACGTGAGGATCAACAAACTTGTTCTGAATCTACTAAAATTTCAATATTGGCAGCCTATTTAGTTGACTCTTTGACCATTTTAAGGGCCCTCGTTCACATCATACAAGTGCTCTTTATAACATGTAAATCGATTCCATGATCCAACCATCATGTATTGATCGTTGTAATGCAAAATTGCATTGACCCAGACTCAAGTCCAGTTATCCAATAAAATGTGTGGGTCTAATCAAGTCTATCCAATATTCTATAACGAGTTTATTTCTTGGTGTGAGAGTAGATCTTGTGAATGCCCATAGCAGAAGTCATCAAGACGATGATTGAGGCACCAGAGATACTATAGATATCAGGGTATTCATGCAAGATAAAGATTCCAAACAAAAAGGCAAACACAACATCATTCATACGCATAAGAGTTCCTGGACCAGCAGGAGCCATTTGCAAACTACAGATGGATGTAGGGTGAGTATACAACACAACACATCAATATGGCCCGCAAAGACTTACCCTTGATTCAAGAAACATTGACCGACAAAAGCAGACAAACCCACCAAGAGCAGCATGCCATATTCATACCCACCCTGAGGCATGACAGGTGTTTGAAACATTGTCATACCGATAGGGGCAACGACGATGGACACCAAGCCAAAGTAAACCACATGCACCATGTAATGAGCACCTCTACCAATCTTGCGCACAGTGACATAGGCAACAGCAGACATCATGGCGCCTGCCAATGCACACAGCACAGCAAACAGTCTCTGCCATTCACTGATATCTTGATCCTGTGGACCATCATGGCTGCCAAACAAGAATTGAGGCTTGGATACAAGGACAACACCCACCATGCAAGCAACAGAACAGATACCGTCGAATAAAGTGAATGCTTCACCGAGGACGATGGATGCCAGAATGGCAGTGAAAGCAGGACCCAAGAAAAAGACAACTAACGACAAGAGTCAACAAACACACTACTTCCATCATGTGAGCCAATAGATATACCTGTAGCATCAGCTAATGGCAATTGGGTGATACTGTAAAAGAACAAACAGAGGCCCAAGGTGCCAGCTAAACCTCTGAACAAAAGCCAGCGACGTACACCAGGTTGGCCCAAAGGGTTGACCTTGAGAATAGCGCAGCCTAGCAAGCTGAACATGGTCTGCACAACGGAACGAGCAAACACAATTTCAAATGACGGAAAACTGGTGCCACTCAATTTGACAAACAAGGACATGGTAGAGAATCCAAGTGCGGATAGTGTCATAAACAGTAATCCAATGATTTCTCTGCGTTTGTTTTGATGATGTTGTTGTTGTTGTTTCTGTGCATTTCTTAACAGTGGCGTAGATTCGGTATGGCTGACATTGACAGTAGCCGATGATGTAGGCAATGATGGATGATTGCTGTTACTACTACTACTACTCATTTATAGAAAAGTGAAATGTTTAAGGAAGAGAGAGAGAGAGAGAGAGAGAGAGAGAAGACAGGCCAAGTAAAAAAAATTTTGCTCCCCTTTAAAAAAATTAAAGGGTTTAAGCTTTATTCAAATGAAGAACATGTGAAACATGATCCACTACTACTAGCAAGTAATATAGTTTAAAGATACACGCCGTTATCAACAACACGCTTGCAGCCATAGGTACTTCTACCGGCATTACAATCAGCGTAATGATCACAACATCTCATACAGTAATGTCCGCCATCAGGTTCAATCAAATTGACATAGTATCTGTAACCATAGCACATGGAGTTGGGGGGAGATCCAGCACCGTGGTTATCGTATTGTCCACCGCCATCCTTAGTGGAGAGTTCCCATGCAGCAGGATTGAATGAACCAGTAACTTGGACATAGCCAGCAGTGGTGTTCTGGAAGTAGTAGGAGGTCTTGATAAAGGTAACGGGCAAAGTACGAGCACCAGGTGCATTAGCACTGTTCTTTAAACAAAAGGGAACAGCGCTCTTTTCAGACTTGGAGATGGCATCATCATCTACCTTGCCATTGTTGTCTCCCTTTCCACCAGGAGTGGAAGGCAAGAAGAGACAGAAATCAGTCTTGCTGCTCACTTGAGCGGTCAATCCGTAGTTGTAAACGAGATCGCTGGTAGCAGTAGGAGCAGCAGAGGTAGTGGTGGAGGTGGAAGGCTTCTTGGTGGTAGTGGTGGTGGTAGAAGGCTTCTTGGTGGTAGTAATAGCGGTAGCCTTCTTGGTAGTAGTTGCCTTCTTGGTGGTGGTCTTTTTAGTGGTGGTCTTTTTAGTGGTTTTCTTGGTGGTGGTCTTCTTCTTGGTAGTAGTCTTCTTCTTGGTAGTAGTCTTCTTCTTGACGGTAGTAGATTTAGTGGTGCCTAAACACAATTTCTCAGCAACTTTCAAATTGCTACATTTGGAATTAACTAGAGTATATGGTAAGTATCGACGGGCAATGTCATGACATGATTGCGTCTTCTTACTTTGGCTGTTCAATGAAGTCAAGGTGGCGACCGAGATACCAGCCTTGGTGGCAACCTTATTACACTAAAGACATCAGAGGGTGTGTTAATACAGGTATGAAATACACAAAGATAATTGAATGGCTTACGGTATCTCCAGCAACGACTTTGTACGTCTTTGAGCAATTGGCAGGAAGTGCCTCAACAGAGATGGTTGCAGCAGCAATGCATGCAAGCGCGATAGCAATTGGAGTACGCATTATTAAGGAAAGTATAATCAAAGTGACCTACAAGGAGTGTTGCAGTAAATTGAAAGAGAGGAAAGGGAAGGTGGAGATAAAAGAAAAAGAGAGAGAGTTGGAGGGAAAAGAGAGGAAAAGAACATGAGATGATCCATATTTCTTATTCTTATATAAGGATTACCTGATGAACCCCGCAGGACGATTCCAGGCCCTGTTTCTCTCTCTATTGAAGGTGATATAATTTCCAATAACATACAAGTCAGTGCAACACATGTAAAGCTATGTTGCACCTCTCCAATCATCTATGGAGCATGCCGATCCCTCTAGAATTTAACGTTTACATGCTGCTTGGCGTATAAAGAAACCAGATTAGCACTTTTGGGGTGTTTTCTTGTGCTTTGAGTAAATTGATAGTTGTACATTATGAATCATTGATGCATGTAGTACCTTTTCCTAGCCTTTCCTTGTATAAAATCGATGCTAATCAAGATCATCATTACTAATTTCGAAGCAACTCAATACCGGTGTTTTAAAGTGTTGTGATTCAGGGACCACAGATAATACTCGAGTTGGCGCGGAAATACCAAATGTAGACAATCAACATGTACACCATGTCCCATTTCAGGATTTAACATTTTATATTTATATCCAACCATTGCACAATGTGTACGTGTACGTGTGCTGTGCTGTGCTGTGTGTGTGTGTGTGTGTTTGTGTGTGTGTGTGTGTGTGTAAAGCTGTATAATAAGAAAGGCAGCGTATCAAAACGATGATAACGCTCCTTGAAAGAAGGTTACATATTTTTATATCTAGAGTCTAGCGACTTCATTTCATTCTTCATCTTCCATTCAACAAATTTGAAATGTGAAGCAGCTTCTTCTTGCAACAATTAGGTAGCTAACACATATTCTATATATGCATCTGTATCAGCCAATGCATACATTCCAATGACACTGCTAAGCGAGTGCTCCGTTTGGCTATAGTATTTACCATCTATCAGGATGAGCAAACATCAAGTTGGGGATGCACTGGCTCAAAGTGCACAATGAAAGCCGAGCATGGCATGCGATTTCATTGGTTACAAGCGAGATGTTCAAAAATAAAATTTCTGTCTTACGATAGGAAGCACAAATCGTTTTTACATATATAAAAATAAATGGGCTATAAAAAGAAAATAACGAGGTAAAAGTCTTATTATACAGAATTGTTGTTTATGTCTAAAAATGTAACAATGCACTGTATTCATTAAAAAAAAAAAAAAAAAAAAAAAGAAAAAAAAAGAAAAAAAAAGAAAGACATCCTATGTGTAGGGTGTGATGGATGTACAGATGAGCAGATGTACAGGTACATGACACAAACCATGGATCCCAACAGAATCCTTATTGTCTTGCTTTCATCTAATCAGCAGAGAGAGAGAGACAGCAGTATGTACACGTACAACATTCACTCTTGGGTTGGACAAGAACTGAAAAAAGATGAGCCTTAAATTCAAGCATGTTGTTTGTACAAAATACAACACTTGGCATTTATCAGCGCGAATATTCAACGACCATTGAGCCTGTAGCACTGTATCTTTAGATCTCTATCTTTAGCAATGTGTGATATGTGCCTTTGTTTAGCCTCTAAAGTTGCTTCATGTACTAGTAGCAATCAAGTGCTGTAGCAAGGCTGGATTTCTAATGCAAAACTAAATTATGCATGTATGGAAATCAGGAGGGCGAGAGAGTGAAAGAGTGTATATGAGTATATGTATTCTAGAAAGACAAAACACCATAGCCAAGCAAACGACTTTATGATTCGAACCACCACATCCATTGGCCAACACGGGAATAAAGTCAGTGGGAACATCCGTCACCATACCTGCAATGCATTCAAGCAGAGTTTTCCATTATTGTTGGCTGCTACAATCACACCAAACATGCGGTTGTATGCATTGCAAATATTTCGCAAGTAGATTTATCATAGCAGCAACGATATGCACAGCAGCTGTACATTCTAAAATAAGCTATCCTTGCAGTTGTGGCATTCTACATTGTGCTTTAATTTGACCGACTACTGACATGCATGCCAATTGGCGATGTCTATTGCAAGTTTTGTATGATGCTAAGGAGAGGGAATTATCTCTCTCTCTCTCTCTCTCTCTCTCTTGAGAACATACCAAGCCAATACATAAAGCCAGTAGCATTGTGCTCTACATGTTGCATACAGGACAGTTTAAGATTCAAACTTCCATAGTATATAAAGCCTTTCAAGGATTTGCTTTTCACTCTCGATCATCTCACTGATAGTTTTACTATAAAAACATGCTCAAACTCTCTGCCCTTTGTGTTTTCTTTACCAGCGTTGCTATTGTGCTTGGCTGCGACACTGCTTGCTCTGCTTCGCAAGACCTAGATGGTCGCTGTTACTATTCGTGTACGGACAATGCTTGCTACATGTCTGGAAGTCATCACAGAGATCAGTTCTTGAATGGGCTCTCCACTCGTGGCTATGACTGCAGACCAGAAGGCTACAACACGCTGTCTTGCGCAAAGACTGGTAACTTTGGTGGCTGCTGGGGTCATATGTGGACCTGCGGTGCCAATTGTTGAATGTAAAAATCGTATTTTATATATAAAAAAAAAAAATGTGCCTCAAGTTATTTTTTGATCCGCTCTGCCAACTATAAAACACGGATTTATTGGATGAATGACAATGTAACAAAATCTTGACGATGAGAATTGGAGGAAAAAAAAAAACAAATAAACTACTATTTACAATATGCCAAGACCACATCTAATTCTCTTCTGCCTCTTCTTGTTGTTCTTCATCATCGTCATTATCGAGTCCTTCCTCTAAATCATACTCAAATGCAACATCCCAGCGAGATCCAGGTGCTTTTGCACTAATATACTTGATGAATCGCATCACACCTTCATCTCTCAACACCAAACTCAATTCATTTTGTCCTGCGGGCAAAGTCAATAAAGCGCCATCCTCATCTGCAGCCTTGTAAGTAGCGGGATCCTCTTCCTCGTCGTGAGGAGCCATATAGCATTCATAGCCACCCACATCACCGTCCTCCCAAGCACTTGGCTTGTTGACATGACAGAAAGTGACATCCAATACACCTTGACCTCTAGTGTTGGTCGTAGCTAATGTGTAATCATGACCAGGTCTGAAACGACGTGCTTCACCACGGTAGCCTACAGCCAACAGTTGCGTGATGGAAGCAAGCCATAATCTGAAAGCTTCAGATTCAAATCTCGACTTTAAATAGGCAAAAATGTCTCCTTCCTTGTCGTCGCTGTTGTTCACCATGTATCTTGAGCGATGAGGAGGGCCTTGCACAGTCCAGCCTGCGCGCACGCCTGTGCCGTGAGGCACAATGCGATGATTCTCAATGACATTGTCCTCTGTATCCAACTTGGTGGTGGCAGCGACTAATTTAGCCAAAGTGGGCTCGTTCAGAATCTCTTTGCACTGTACTGCTGATTCATCCAAGAAGCGTTCTGACATTTGTGAGACAATCTTCAGGTCCAAATAGTGGGGATTCATCCATTCTGCCAGTTCAACCATCACATCCTCTGTCAATCCAACAATTTCCTCCTCTTGTGGGTTCTCTACTTGGTATTTGGTAAAGCGATCACTGGAATCTTGTTCTTCTTGCAGCTGCTCCAGCGAGGATTTTGCAGCATCGGACTCTTCTTGCGATGGCTCCTTATAGCCAAACTCGCCTTCTTGAGGTATATGGAACCAGCCTGAAATGGAGAGACGGTTTCCGGGGCCAACGACTTCTTCAACAGAGTGGAAGGAGTGTCCTGGTTGCACGGTAAACATGACGAATTGGTTCCATTGAGGTGGGATGACGACAGTAGGCTCAGAAGCAGGGATACCCTTTTCAATGACGGGATACAGCTCAAGAGCACCACCATCCTCAGGTTGCCATGGTTTAGCAGGATCCGTCAAGTACAAGATGTATGATACACGACGGGTGCCAATCACATCATCGTGGTTGAGTAAATGACATCCAGCCTGATACGAGTTGATGCTCATGTCCATTTTTGATCCAGATAATGGTCCACAATCTGTCACTTTGGAGATGAACTTGCGGAATTCGGTTGAATAGATGGCATTTCTAAGCTCAAATAAGCTGGATAGTTGCTCGAGTTCGTTTTTGGGAAGACCATCCAGATTGGCCAAATCACCAGTTTGATTGACCTGATGACACATCAGCCATCATGTTCCTCAATACGTTTACTCCAACCCCATGCTTACCTTGTAAATGTCTGTCTCCTTTAAAGTGAAGTGCAAGTTGGACAAGATTTCTTTGCGAACTTTTTTCAACAAATCATTGTTGATCAAAGTGTCAATCTTGCAATGAAGGTAAGGCTTTGATTCCTTGAATTCCTTTTCAATGATGGCAGTGGATTCAGCTTCCATGAGTCCCTTGTGGAACTTGTCTTCAGGGTTGGTATCGAGCTTCTGTCTCTTGTTGGCCATGATATACAAAAGGAGTTGGATAAACGAAAGAAAGAAAAAAGAGAGGTGGCTTTTTGGTCCCTGTCAGTATAAACGCTTGAAAAAAAAAAACAAAAAAAAAAGGAAAGCGGGGTAACACTCGATTTTTTACTCCACATCAAAATGACAAGAGAGATCATGATGGCTATTATACATGTGGATGAATAAAAAGAAAGGAGGGGCTTTATTTACAGGTATATCATTCATCTATTTCTGTTGGTTGAGGAGTTTAGCCAAGAATCCCTGGCTTCCATCCTTGTTGGCATCAAGCGAAGATACCATGCCAGAGTAGTATTTGGGATTGCTGGCAGGAGACAAAATTCTCTCGGATAATGTGTACTATGAAATGCAGTCGAAATGAATTCACTTGCTCACACACACACACACACATCCCTCATAACACTACCTTTTCCTTGAATTCATTGTTCAATAGCTTCTCCAATGCCAATAATTCCTTTTCTGCTTGAGCTACGTTCAATGTCTCTTCATTCAAGAGTGGTTTTCTAAAGGTTTCTTCAATGCGAGTGGATAAAACTTGCTTCAAATCTCTGTTGGGTCTCACTTTATCGACAGGCCATTTCTGAATAACCTTTAAAAAGGAGCGATATAAAGGTTGAATTTCGTTTGATGCCATGATGTGTTTTATTGAATGTGAAAAAAAAGAAAATGTATATAAAATGCCACAACCAGGGTACAGAGGAAGAAGCTTTTTCTTTTTTTTTTTTTTTCCTTTCATTTTCCGGACTTTGAACATTTTTTTTTTTTTTTTAGTTGACAAGTGGATCTTGTTCGAATGGTATAGGATCCTCTTCAATGCCTAGCTCTTCCTTCAACTCACTTGGATTGCCAGGATAGTGTTCTGTCACAGTTTTGAATATCTCTCGAAACTGAAGTCATAGAGTGAGCATACACTGAGTCCCCGGTTCATTTGCTCCAATGCCATCCTTACCATGCCTCTTCGTTTCTTCCATAATTGTCTATATGTGTCAAAGTCATCATTGGCTCTTTTTCTCTTTTCTGGAGGAATCAATACAGTGCCAGATTTTAATTTCTCCAGTTTCTCTTTCAGTTGCTCATTCTATAGTTATCTTATGAGCAACATATTGCTTCAACATGAGCAGAGCATACCTCTGTTTTGGCTTTTTCCAATAATTCCTTTGCTTCGTCTGTTGTTGGCTCGCTTCTCGTCTTTGCCAATACTGCATCATGCCATTAGCACCACAAATAATCGTCCAGCTCTCCACTATCACCACGGAGCTTACCTTGGTCTAATGTCCTGTTCTCACTTGCTAGTGCATCGTGTTTCTCTGCGAGTTCTTCCAATGACTTTTCCATGGCTCTCACTTCTTTTTCTGAGGGCACATCGTCCAATGATTGCTTGGCAGAGTAGATGGTGGACTTGCCGTATGTTTTCGATATGATGGATTCATCTTTGACCAATTGATCCAGTGCTTTTGTAATAGCTCCTTTGGTGTATTTGGCATGTAAGTTGTTGAATATATCAGCTAATTGGACATCATCATATTAGTTGTGTGATCATGGCTATCTTTGCATGATATAGATATTGACTACGTACTGGCACTGTAAGGTCTGTTTACTTTTGTCAAGTACTCAAGCACAGCAATTTCTAGTAAAAAAAAATAAGACATTGCTGTGCATTAGACAGTATGAGCCAAAGCTATACCTTCTTCTTTCTTGGTGCTTCCTGCTTTCTTTTTAGCCATATTGAAGAAAAAGAGTAAGCAATTCCAATTTGGAAATTACACTTGGATGAATTTTTTGTAAACTCAGTGTGGCTAGCTGTTAAAAAAGATGAGAAAGAGGAGCTGGATCAAGAGCAACAGGTCCTTTATAGGGCCGTGACTTGACCAAGCTTGCAACCTATCATCACTTGAATAAGTTAAGCATTCCTCTACAATGACAAAAACTAAATAGCTATCAATAGCCTACAAATCTATACATATGTACCAGCATGTACAATAGCGTTTGTTTTAATTTGTTTCAGCTGCTTGGTACAACACGTTTGCTGCTCATCACGCATGTATAAAGTGCATGCTGCTGTTGTTGTGATGGCAGGTAGTAGGGCATTAAAGACGCGATAGTGGCCATGCATCTACTTGATCCGCGCAGCAATAGTAGATACTAAGGCATATATCTAATTGTGCATTGAATCAAAAAAAGGACGAATATAATGGATTATCTTGAGTGTATTATTTTGGTTTTATTTCATCTCGACGGTCGAAAATCGATTTTTTTATTAGATGATGTTGATATTAAAGCTTTCAGATTAGCCTCTTCTTCAACTGATAGCGCTATCTAAAAATGCGCAGGTAGCACGGTTGTTGAGAAATGCGTGCTTTTTGAAATTTGCAAATTTAGATGACTAATAAAAGCCATTGGATTATTATACGAATGCTGGTTTTATGTGTAGTAAACGTTGTAGAGAATACTTTGGTTGATTAGGGAGTGTTGTGTTTGGGCTTGCTGAGAACGATGTCGATGAGTAGTGAGGAAAAACAATGAAAATGGACAAATTTCAAAGGGCCGTACCGCTGGACTTTACTAAATGAACAAGAGCTTCAAGCTTAATAGTTTCTGTTTCTTTTTCAACTCTCTATATGATGGTATGGTTTTTAGAGATAAACAAAAAACGTTTTGAATATCCTCTGCTTGTAGCTCATAAAATATATGATATTGAGCAAATTTATGAAGGGAGCGTACATCTGGTACTTTAAACTCACATATTATGACGAATATAGCGTAGAACTATCGTATGGTCTTTGTCTTGTGCAAATCCAATGAATATTTGTCGAGATATATCCAAAAAAGGGTGTCATGCAAAATGATGGATTTTTCTTCAAAATCTGCCTGTGATAGCAAGCGAAAAAGTTGGGTGACCTATTTTTGGTCAGGACAATATTGTCAATATTTTAGGATAGATTCATGCCAGAGCTTCAAGCAATAGCTCATTCAATAGGAAAAGTTTTGGTCTACAATGTTTAGTAATGCTTAACAAAATATTCTGATGACAGATACTGATTAATCTTTAGAAAACAGTCAAAAAGTCGCAAAAGTTATCTCATCAAAAACCAGTTGAGCAATGTACACCAGAGACTTGATATAAATACCATTGTATTTTCCTTGCAATTCTCTACAAGTTTTATATAAGTTTGAAGGGGTGTTTACTATCAAGAATCAAGTGATTTTAAGGTCGATAGATTTCGGAATCCTATGGATCATCATTCAGAACAATAGAAATTGAAGCTCCGTTTAGCTTTCGCATGTGTACACCACACATGTATGCATTTGACCAAGCATTTTAAAAATCGGAACGTACGAAAAGGGGCCATATTTACTTGCTGGTTTCAAGTTATCAATAGATACTTGACATGCTGAAGAATCTTGTTGTCAAGACTAGACAACTGTAGCTTGCTTTATTCAAGAATAATAACTTTTCCAACTTAAAGTATGTATATTTCCCCGCTTGAAAATAGCATTTCCAATGTCGATTATCTATTGAACCAGGCTAGATAAAAAGCAAGCGCTGACTGGAAAGAAAAGTCGTCGTTTTCCTTTTTTTTCATATATATTTATTTCAGCAGATGGCTTTTGTCCGTGAAGTGAACTAGACTAGATTCCCATCATAAACAAAGCCCAAAATAAATGTCATCTCAATCAAACCATGCTACCATCAGCAGATAGGCATGCATAATAATAGTATTAGCATGATGATAACAAGGGTTAAATGCTCTAAAATAAGAGATGACAGATACTAAAGTAAATGTCAAGGGTATTGTAATGTGTTGTAACATAAATATACCTAAAAAGGATACAGGCTCAACAATAAAGAGCTATTCTTCACGCATGATTCAAAAACCATATATTGAAATACCGTTCTTGATCCATCAGATCAACAACTAAATGACCCAACAAAAATATATAAAGTAATGGAATCACTGGCAACTACTAAACTGCTGCCAGATAAGAGATATAAACCAAAAAATAATATAAATAGAGACGTAGAATATACATTTTATTGCACATTATCCTAATTTCGAATAAAGAAGGATTTTAACAGTATTCTACCTGCTTTTTTAACCCCTTTTTACTGCAGTCCGCACTAAAATGCCATTTGTACACTATCCAATTACATAACCAATCTAGCAAGAGACGACATGATGTGGTGGGGAATGTGTCCTTCTATCAATTTGAAGGCTCTCAGCTCGATTCTTTGTATTTAAGTTGCCGTTCTTTCTCGCATTTTATTATTAACGTGCGATGTTATTCGTTTCTCTTGTCATCTGTCGTGTGCAGAGATATGGTTTATGAGTGTAATATGTATGCAAAAGAATAGATATGGGATAAACTCGATTTTTATTATTTTACAAATTGGTTTGAAATTTATGCCAATTAAAAGGTTTTGCACACAGTCGTTCCCTCATCATCTCAAATACTGTCTCAAGTAATAGTTAGATGATAGTGGTGCTACCGTGAGTTTTTCTACGTTTCCTTTCTACTTTGGTAGTCTTAAGTATTGTTGCAACACCACAGGAGGTAAGTAATAGTCGAGAGCGATAAGGTGTAATTTGAGTATGTTACATTCATTAATATAGATGTTCAGCATAATGTACAATGGAAGGTCGGTATGCTTTTTCTCAGAAATATTATAGGTTAGCAGCACTGAGCATCATGGTTTGAGCAGCGCATCAAGTCTTTTTTTTTAGGTGAAGCTACTGATAACTCCACTCTCACTACGTACTTTATATCTTTCCTATCATCAAGCGGTGCAGTTATGTAGGACATACATCTTTTAATCAGGCAGAAAATTTTCTTCTCACATCACATCTTTGTTAATTGAAAAGTATAGCGAGCACATTGCTATTCATTTTGCAGGGTAAAATATCGCTTTTAAATAAACAATTATTTAATCAATATCAATGGTAGTGTATTAAAAAAAAAACATGGCAACTAATTTTTATCCACTCATTAGATTCATGTGGTCAAATGATTTGACTGGTAGTAGTAATGCCAACAAATATTTTCTACTAATGACACTTTGGTTTCTTGATGAAATCACTCGTGGCTCTTGGATAGCACATGCATGTATCTTTCAACCAGACCTTTATTACTGCCAGAAAAATCAGACTCGTGTCAATTTGAAATTCATGTGTAAATGCTGCCTAAATCTCAATTTGGGCGTGGCCGTCCCACACATACACTCTACGGAGAGAGCACACACAAGCCAAATCTAGCCAATCGTAACCCCACGATTGATTTCTTAAATTTCGTAACAAGTTTACATGGACGCTGTGTGTATGTAATTTTTTTTTTTCTCCTCTCTCTTTTTTTTCTTTTTCTTTTCAACATTTATTTTTTCAAGCAAAGAGGTGGAGACATGTCAACAATCACAAATTCCCTTGCAACAGTGTCAAGTGGGACAACTCTACTCGCACTGTCACTAATAGCCGGCGTCAGCTATTATTACCTGTTCAATGATAAACGCTTTTCATTATCGGAAAGACTATACTTTTTGATATGTAAACGAAATATCCAGGAAGCTTTGCTGGAGCATGAATTATTGGAAGAACGTAATTATCATTCAGAACAATATGCGCACATGTATATTTACTCCTTTTCATACTACAGCTGAGCCCGAGATCATTACAGAAAACACACAATTCGTCGACATCAATGGCCATCGACTTCGGATCGTGCACATCATTCACGAGTTGGGCAGTAAAGTACCTTTGATTGTGTTTATTCATGGCTTAGGTGGACAGGTAATAGCAGTATGCTCTCTATTGGTATTTAGTAGTATTGTATTTACACACACTCTCTTTTTGTTTGACCAGGTGTCACAATGGAAGTGTCAAATCGAGTACTTTTCGCATACCGCACACATCCTTGCCATTGATTTACTGGGTTGCGGCAAGAGCGAAGTGAGTAAAGAGTAAGTAGGCCATTTGAATCAACCAGCATTCAAGTGAAATAACATGGATCTAGCTGGGAGTCGTACACAACGGCATCTCTCGTGGACGATGTGAAGAAGCTATTACTGGATCGATACAAATATCCGGCGACAGTCATCATTGCTCACTCGTATGGTTGTTCAATAGCATCCTCTGTTGCAGCATCACCTGAAATACAAGCCAGTTTGAAAGGACTCGTCTTGATTGCACCCAAGGAACACATCAACGAGACACAAAAACGAAATCAGAATAAACTGAGGTGGATACCCAATTGGCTCTTCAATTGCGCCAGAACAGCCGATAGAAAAGGCGGATTGCATTCAAAAAGTGTGGATCGCTTCTTGGGTACAGAGATTAGTGATGTAGATATTCGAAGAAGGTATGTATGTAAAGGTTGTTATGGATTTAGAGATATTCATATGTCACAGTCAATTGCAATGGAATCTTCAGAGCAGGTCATCTGTATACAAGCGGTTTGTAAGAGGAGCGAGCTTCCCGGATAAAAGTGTTTATGACAAGATCAAAGTGGGCGTGCTGCTGATAGGCGGTGGACTAGACACCATTACGCCACCTACTGAAATGAACTTGATCCGCAATCATCTACTTGGTTTGGATGCTTCTCAAGACAACCAATGGGATGCAGTGACACCATCTGATAACATGCGAGTGCCTGTACCCTATGTGATCCCTGATGTGGGGCATGTGCCTATGGTGGTGCATCCAGAGCTGGTGAACCCCGTTATCTCTGATTTTTTGATCAAAAACTGTGGACTGAATACACTAAGTGGCGCATGGCAGATATTACACAAAACCAAAGGCGAGAACAAGTGGGATTTAAAGAACTATGCAAAATGGGTCAGCATTGCCAACATCACAGAAGAGCCTATTGGTCCCTCGCTGTTCAGAGCCATGAAAGTAATGCGTCAAACAGATACAGCGCACTGCCCTTCAGCTTTACTCGCCAAATATCCTGAAATTCGCTTTATTATTGACATTTCCAACGACACACCACCTTACAGAGCGACTGATTTCGAACACTCGAGGATCGAATACATCAAGTTCAAAACCGTGTCCAAGATTCCGCCTACAAGGGAAGAAGTAGCCAAGTTCAATGAGATTGCAGCCTCGTGTTGGGCAAAAAACCCAGATGCCCAGGTTGCTGTGCATTGTCATTATGGATTCAATAGAACTGGGTTCTTTATTTGTTGCTATATGATTGAAAGACTGGGTGTTGCTGTGCCTGATGCACTGCGCTATTTCAAAGTGGTCAGGCCACCAGGCATCAGGTAAGTTGTCTATATACTTAAGGCCATTCCACATTGACTCACCCGTTTATTCTTAGACATACACACTTTATTGATGAACTGTATCTACGCTATGTATTGAACCAACGATGAGAAATCTAGATGCCTAAAAATATAGATGTACATTTGATATTTATTAAATTTCCAATACTATGTATTCTCCTGATTTTTGTAGATACGATTAAGCTCCTTTGCTGTGACAGTAGTAGTAGGAGGAGAGGGAAAAAAGTGATTTACATCAAGAATAGTAATAAAAAGGGATATATCTTGCTTTAGACAATAAAATCAAGGTTGAGACTATTCCTACCACCAAACCAGTCTCTGACAGAGCGTGCTTGTCTCCCCTATTCCTCCTCCCCTGATTTTGTAGTATCACATCCTGCCCAGAACATGCATGAAGTATATAAATACAGCTCTCTCAGATGGCCCTTTTACTCATTTGTTGTCAATACACATCACTTCAAAACATGCCTTGCCTGGGATCACGCAAGAAATCCACCGCTTCCACCGCCAGCAGACAGCAAAGTACGTCCTATATAGTAAACGGAAGATTCATGCCACCTAATTACGTTGAGCCCACTTTGTCCTCAGGTATCAATGGCTCAACGAAAGCAGAAAGTGTCGCTAGTCAACAATCTCAAACTGCAGCGCAGATAAGGCTGGAATACAATGAATTGCAGTCAAAAGCAAGTATATCATCCCCTTCCCTTCTCGTGACAAATGTTCCCCTATTTCTTACTCCTTGGTGTTGTATGTATTAATGCTTGATTTCTTATTAGAACAAGGCTCATCTGGAGACGATTGCAAAGCAAACTTCTGAGCTAGAGAAATTAAGACAGCAGCTTAATGAATCTGTCACATGTCAGCTCTCCATCGCTGAATCAACAGCAGTACCCAAAGAGGACCAAGGCAACGGCGAAACCACAATGGCGTTACTAAGCCTGGAAGCACGGAACAAGGAAACCTTAGCAACCTTGGCAGAAAAGGAGGCTTTGCTCGAAAAGAAAGAGCAACAACTCCAAGAATTGATGCAGAAAATGCATCAGCAGCAGCAGCAGCAGCAGCAAGAAAGCACCATGACTACCACCGCTGTAGAGTCAGCAAGCAGTACCAGTGTCGAACACGAGGATTTGTACACTCAATTGGCTGAAAAAGACAAATTACTGCAAGATCAACAAGCGCAGTTGGAGGAACTGAAAGCTCAGTGGGAAGCAGAGAGGGCTGAATTGATCAAGCCTGCTTTGAAACAAGTTACGGCTCAATTGGAGGAGCTAAAAGAGACTGTAAGCAATGTGTTGAATAGTTCATCTTGGGGAAAATTATACTCACATACAAACAGAACAAATTTGCTGTGGAGAGATTAACCGAGAAAGAAAATGAACTGGCAGAACTTCGCTCTCAATTGAACAGAAGAGATAGAAAGCCAAAGCACTCATCCTCCAGAGAACAGGAGCATCAAAAGAGGCTGAACAGACTCACGATGGATTTGGAGAACGATCGTTTATTAATACAACGACTGGATGAACTCAATCAGCAGTTAGAGGTGAGCCCCCCCCCCCCAATGTTGAATTACTACTTTATTGTTTAGACATGCTCATCCTCCTTTTGCTATATTATAATGTTATACACAGACACAAAAGCAAAAGCATGAATCCATTCTTGCATCACATGCCAAGGCACTCGCTGAAAAGGACCAAGCTCTTGTTCAGCATGAAAAATCATTAAAGCAACTGAAAATGAACCATGAAAACGCCACAAAGTCATTGGAACAAGGGCATTTGCATCAGTTGAAAAAGCTACAGCTGCAACATGAAAAGGCATTGGAGGATCTGAAAAAGAGACTCAAATATGCAGAGTCTCACGCAAAGTCAACGGTCAATGATGAGCTGGATCAGATATTGGTCGAGTTTGAGCAATCCCAACACATGCATTCGGCACAAGTGGCTTCGTTGCAACAATCCTACCAAGAACAGATTTCAGTGATGCGGTTGGGCCAGCAAGCAGAGATAAGACGTCTGATAGGCAGCAGCAGCAGCGGTAGCAGCACTGTTTCCAAGTTGAGAAACAATGCAAAGTTCAACTGGCCACCTGTAGCCGTCTAACTTTATAAAAATGTGGTTTAACATAATAATAAAAAAAAAAAAATATCATTCACGGCATAAAGTCTCCAAAACGACCAAAGAATAACCTTGGAGTCACGATTAACATCAAAGACCCCAACCAGATCTGCGTATCGTGTAAAAAGCGTTATTTCCTGAGGGAATAGTTCAACAAGTACTTAAAGAAAAAAGCTCATAAACTCGCTTGAATAAAGAAGCGTTAAACACATAAAAGATGCAGCGAACAACAAATAGTAAGTAAAATCAATGAAAAGCAGAATGAAATGTTTTTTTTTTTTTTTTTTTTTTTTTTTTTTTTTTTTTTTTTTACTGATGCCTTGATAACAGAGCCTTAGTTTGTAGTCTTCTTTTTAGCTCGGTCGATTACCTACAAACAATGTATCAGGAATCTCACCTCCTCAGTCCACAATTCATATCCTTTGCAGAAGCTATACATTTCAAGTACGAAGCAAGAAACACGGAGCGAAAGAAAAGGCGAGTGGTTGGTTGCCTATTTTTTTTTTTTTTTTACCTTCTTCTTCTTTGCTTCGTATTTGTTGCTTACCTTGCTTCATTATTTAGCTGTTCATGAAGTCGATATCGGCCATTACAGGCGCATTTTATTTCGACATGTATCCCAACACTTGTAAAAATGCGAAATGAGATCATTGAAATAACCTTTTTCCACACTTTAGCAGGTTTTACGCTCTGAGGACACAGGCAATGTCCTGCACGTCCTACATTTAGTTATTCAGCGAATAATAGTGTCAAACTTAAGATTAAACTGACATCATGATGTACGCGTGGTGCCTACGAGCTTTTTGAAATGAGAACTCTACCAAATGACGTATTTTGAGATCGACAAGATCATCGCATTCCATAACTGGGTTAAGATTCAAATACATGATCCAGACCATTTATCTGTATGAGCGAGTGGCGTATTATTAATATGCTTGGCAAGCTGACAGCACAAACTACCATCGATTCTCGCAGAATATCATGCACTGATGTTTGCTAATAAATGTCAGCATATCTAGGCTCTTCGACATCTCGATTTAGGAGATCTGGCATCTGTCAAAATGTGCAGTACATTGCTTCAACGGTTTTGAGTCATTGTTATCATGCTTGAGATGCAATAATTTCAGTCAACAGGTTTTAGAGTCGCGCGTTACCTTGGTACTACAGTATATACACAGTACCTTGGACCAGCATGCATACTAATACTGTATGATAAATCGAGCACAAGCGATGCATTTCAGTTGATGCCACCGCTTAATTATTAAACATGCCTAAAAGGCGAATCCCGCGAAATGTGTCTCTGGTTTCCAGATGCGATAAAAACTCATTTTTTTAATTTATTTTCTATATAAGGCCATTTTAATTAATTAATTAATAAACATGTCTTGAACAAATGATTCATAATCCATTTCATTATCAGAATAGCTCCTAGGCATCATCTTTTTGAGATAGTCTATCATGGAGACAGGGATCTGGCTCATTTTCAGATCCAGTTCCGTGACAAAGGGTTTATCGCCAGCGATGGTTCTGAAAGAATCGAGCAATTGACCCGGTGTCGTTTTGTCCTCAGTAACAGACACCATGAATCGAATAAACTGTTCAAATGACATAAAGTCATTGTCGTGTGTGATGTCGTAAAAGATGCTTTCCAGGCGTTCATTGTCGTACACAATGCCTAGACTTGATAGAGCGTATTTGAATTCAGATGCGCTCAGTGTGTTGGTATAATCTTTGTCGAAATATCTAAATGTTTGCTCGAATTCTTCCAATTGCACTGGCGTCAAGTTGGTCATGTTTCTCGACACAATCTAATAGGTGAGCTCATGTTAGTCTTTCTGGACCCTTCACACTACTTTTCATAGAGAAAACTCACCTGGTTCTGTATAAACGCACTCTTCTTTTGCACTGCTTCTTTCACCAGATCCAAACCAAAACTGAGGTCCTCTAATGAGTACACGGTATAATCGTTTTCCTCTGTGTTTGCCTCTATACATTCTTGGTCTAGTATGTGGATCATTTGAAGAGATTCTTGCATTGGCTCAAATGAATTGGTCAATCCCTGAACAAGTGCAAGCTGGGATTGAAGGCTTCCTTCCAGATCGACTAGTTTAGCTGAGATGCTATCTAACTGTCTCTGAAATTCATTTGCTGCCTCGGCAAAGGCCTTTCGTAGACCCTCCTTGATCCTAGAGCAAAATTAGTGTGCGCAATTAGGCGTTACTCTGTGTGTGCTACTCACTCTCGAATGGTACGGTTGATTCTGCGATGGTATTTAGCTTCATTCTGTAGTAAAGTGTTCCATGTATTGTCCAAATCCTTCAGTGTGAGTCCAGCAGGTGGGTAGTATGGCTTCAGGTTGTATGTTTTGGCTTTGGTTTGAATGTTGCCTAGCAATGCATCGATGTTTCTCTTTTCAGCAACCCACGAACGTTTATCAGTGCTCTTGTAAATGTCGAATGCCATGCTCTTTTGTTTGGCGTCAATGTAGCTGTCTGTTAGCTCTGTATTATCCCATTCTTCTTGGATAAACTCGACTGCTTCCATCAACTAATGAAAAAGCAATGTCAGTGGGCCATCAATGTTGGGTAATGACGTGTATCTACTTACAGCACGCACTCGTAGCTCATACTGATGCTCCATATCACACACGGACAATAGCACATCAGCAAATTTAGCCACTCTTCTGCCAGCCGTTTCAAATTCATCTCTTGCTGAGAAAGCGTGAAAGTATTCAGCTACGTAGGTCATGACAGACTTTTCATCGGGTTTCGAGATATCACACACATCTTCTACATCCAGCAATTGAGGGATATTCAACTTTTTAGCCGCTTCAAATGCAATAGCTGTGTTGCCATGTCGGTCGCTCTTATCCAGCGCGTGATAATCAATCAGTTCTGGGTGATGGTGATGAATCAGGGCACAAAAGGCCAAACCGTCTGTCCAGCTGTAGGTGAAATCCCGAATGTCGACATCGTGGTAGTTGGCCGTTTTACGCTGACACCAAAGCAGCAGACCTTCTTTGGCATTTTTACCGTCTTCGTTGATGTCTGCAATGGTGAATCGAAGAATGATGGTCCATAACATGCCCAAGACAAGCTTCAAGTTTTTGTTGACAATGTCTTCAGCGCCAATATTGGTGAGCGCCACGCCTCTCAGTTTGATGAAATCCAAAGCTTTGTTGACGTTTTCCATCTTTTGAAAAATCATGCCTGGATTTTGATTGAATGGTTTGAGTGATTCACCACCAATAATTTCCTATATTTCAAAAAGTAAGGAAAATTTGCCGATAGTGTGTATGTGAGCGAGTAACGAATTACCAGCAGCTGGATCAAACGAACACCATTTGCTAAATCTTCGTTTAAATGGACAATGTTGGGTATATTTTTCAAGTCTAATTTGTTGTTGACCCATTTCGTAAAGGCTAAAAGAACGGGATGTTGAGGATGGGAGGGGAGGCGACACACATTTGAGATCGTTTACTAAACTTACTCTTTTTCTGAATAAGCTCCCAGGCATTGACCATCTGCTTCTTTTCTATCATGCACACAGGAAAAGATCTCGGAGCTTAATACCTGTGATTGAATGCACATCGTTATCATCATTTACCTTCAAATGACTTTTTCAAGGGAGTCTGACCATAATTTGAGTAAATTGCCATTGTGTTAGTAAATAAGAAAAAGTGTACAAGTAACGAGAAAGAAGAGCAAAAGAAATAAAGGCATTTGAAATAGGCTATTAAAGATATGGGATAATGAAAACAATATGAATTTTCCTTATTAAGGATCAACATAAACAACACATCTCTAACTATGGGCTGCTTTAACTCCGAGAAGCTCAAGGTGTCTCATGTTAATTTTAAGCGTTGATACATCTGGGTGTGCTTATAAGCATCGTTTTACAAAAAGCACAAAGAGAAAGTTTTATGTTTTAAATGCACACACACACACACACACACACACACACACACACACTATAATGACGAGCTGATTATTTCATGGCATTGAAATGGTGGAATGTTGTCAATATGTCATCACATTTGGAACCCCTTCAGTGTCTCTTATAAAAATCCCCAGATTTTCTTGCTTTTGCCTGCATTAATCTTTTCTTCTTTTCTTCTTAATTTTACATATCACAAAAATGACCTCTATTCCTGCTGCCGGTACAAGACCTCCTGTCACTGTTACTAACAAAGTCTCTGAATTCCTGCTGGATCCTTGGTCTACTGTCAAGGTTGTTGTTCCCTCTGCTGCTCTTCAAGTCATTATCCATCAAACCTGTCTCAAAAAGGCATCTTTACGCGAATTGACTTTGGGTCTTACCTTGTTGAATGCCATCTGGTTTGCCACCACTTTGAATATGAGCTACATTGAAACACCATTACTCGCTAATGTCCCCAGTCTCGATGAGAACCAAAAGCTGGATGTAGGTAGACACCGTTTTAATTGGATCAACAAGATCGAGGTAAGGTTTTGCATAACAAGGCAATGTTGGGGGCCGCTGGGAAAATTAATGCACGCATACACATACACACATTAGGCTACGGTCAGCTTATTGAGTCTCGATCTCTATTTAAATTGGAACGAACGCATTGCAAGACATGATGGATTCGTTGACAACGTGTTAAAGACTGCTGCTCTTGCACCCATCGCCATCACTGTTGCACAGTCTGTTTACTTTTTACCAAGATTCAACAAGCGTGCTGAACAAGTTGCAAAGGGTGGTGCTACTGCAAAGGAGCTCTGGGATAAGGATCCCTTCTTCTTGAAGGGGCATCGTGCTTATATCACTTTGGACACGCTCAAGATTTCTGCATTGGCTGTTGCTGGTCTCCGCTTCGGTTTGATGTTGAAAAACTAATTTATCGCTGTAAAATAAACATGGATATTTGAATATGATGAAATGTTCTTGATATGGACAGACGTGATGAATTGCAGTGAGTATGCAAAAGCGCCAACCTGATATTTTTTTTTCTTTTTTTTTTTTTTTTTTTTTTTTTTTTTTTTTTTTTTTTTTTTTTTTTACAAAGGTAGAGGAATTTCACTAAGGATTGATGGTGGGTTTGTTGAAAATGGTGTGATTCGCTGTTGCTCTATCATTGTAAATGTAATGCATAAATTAAAATGATTCTTTCTAATGCAAAACGCCTTAAGCCTTGAGTGCAACCTTTCCAATTCTTAATGTAGTTGAACCATGACAATCAAACACATGGTATGCTCAAAGAACCAGCCGTTACCAATGAGTACATGGAAAACAATTCATATTTTCGTCATACCCTAATTTGTGACAGATACTTCACCTCTCGAAATGAAACTAAAACGTAGCGACACTCGTACTCACGGCATTAAAAAAAAAAAAAGAAGCACAATAGATCGACAGTATCAGATACGAAACAGTAGCACCACAAGATATTGCTGCCTATGCAACATAGAGTTCGACAATTACCAATCAGCAATAAACCATCGCAGATCAATTCACAATATCAAACGCATTTACCCATTGATCAAACTGGAATTGGAGCCAGATATATGTAGATACCGAAATCATCTCTACAAAGCGCATCATACGTGTCTGAATAGGGGGGGGGAGTGGGAGTTATTGAATGATAGGGTCCTTAATTCTAAAGATACCAACTTCCATTGCCGTTCATGCCAAGTAACATGCGAGCGAATTAATAGCTATAGAGTGCATCTTAAACCCATCCATGGCATACAAGTACTGTGGGGATATATCATCAAAAACACCGGCATTTTGCCTGGCTGGAATAATCCAAACTACTATTATTGCTCATCTCGCGAATGCCAATACAAGTCAAGAAAGCTTTTCCCAAATCATTGCGGTACAATGCACGAAATGAAAACTCCAAAAAAACCAGCCTCACGGAGAAAAGGAGCAGCCTAACATCCATGACTTTAATTTCTATTGCAAATTACAGTAAAAAGTACAGATCGCATTGCTATAAAGTATAAAGTCGTTCTGGAACAGTCTGGAAGACGCTCAATCTCCACAACCTCTGTGGTATTCGTGGCAGCTCATTTTACTCCCAAGAAACCTCGAACAAACACCTCTTCACCATTCACAAGAATAGTGATTCAGTGATTCCAGTAAATAGCCTCAAGCCCAATGTCAACGATGTCTACAATTTCTGCAGAGTTTGCGACAAATCTTATAGCAAGAAATGGACATTCAGATACCACCTATTAATCAAGCATTCCATTGGAAAGAAGGTCGACGAAAAAGAAGAATTGAGATCAGACGTTAATGGCCCCAACAACTGCCATCGTGTCTACCAACGCACATACACATCAAACAAAATGTATCGTTTGCTCTAGTCATCGAATGACAGCTAGGAGATAGCTCCAAACAGCTTCCTGGTCCTCTGGATCCCAGCTGGTATTGCAGTGTTTGCAAAACACACTACAAGGATCGAATCCGCTACAGAAGGCATTACAAAAGGACTCATCGTATGATACTTGCTTCAATCAAAACGAATAGAAACCCCAACGCAGAGATAGATATAAACAAGCCAAATCATCATTGTGCCAAGTGCGATCGAAAATCGAAAACCAGGAATTCATTCGTTCGACGTTTCAAAGAGATGCATGGAATGGACTTGGCACAGCGAACAACAAAGAGCCCTAATCTGTACTGTACATAGTTTGAAAAGCATTATTACTCCAAGCGTTGCTCCAAAAAACATTTGATATCTGTTCACCAGATTGAATATATATAACGAGAAAAGTGGAGAACATTAGGATTGTATAAACTACACATCAAATAGTACTCCAATCAATAAAGAAAATCACTCGATTTCTTTAAGCATGGATGGTAACCACCACCATTGACGTGGCAAGAAGACATCCAACAATTTTCCATAAAGAACAGTTATTTATTGTACATGTTTAAATTGTCTGGAGCACCACGATTGAACTTATAATGGAATTCTATAAAGAAGCATATCACGTCATCTGGCACAAATATGGCCTATTATTCTTGCATTATCTGGAATCCGGTTGTTTTTATCAATACTGCACATAAACAAAGCATATTCGAAGCGTATCTTGTAACATGAAGAGTACCATTGAATGATTTCCTTTGAACTGTAACTAATCCCTTATTTTTTTTTTTCGAAAAAGAACTATCCGTTATTGATTTGAGGATGTAGACTTGACTCCTCTACGATACCCTGCGTCTGTATTAATGGAAAGAAAAGTATGCGCTGACACATGGCATACTTGCATTCACCTTTACTGCTCACAAATATGCAAGACGCAGCAAAATTTGAATACATTTGAGCCACGTTTTCTCGCGTTTCATGCCGTTTTATGCCACCAGAATATCACCAAATCATTGCTCACATCTAGCACTTACTTATTGGCACTTTTACTCAACTTTTTTGGGGTCAAGAAAACATGGCCAAAAATCGACTCAAAAAGCATGAGGTACCCCTCATGGATATCCTCCGGGCTCTGGGTCAAACAGAGAGAATTAGGAGGTATGGGCTGTTCATGGCAGTTTAGATAGTCGAAACTGGTAGAATAGGTCAAATTGGGTCAAAAAGCTCAAAAATTGACAAATACGAACAGATGGCCGAGCGGTGATGGAAACGGTATTGGCGGCTGCTGCAGGCTGGCTGATGGCAAGATTAAAAGCCATGTCAAAGATTGACAAGAAGAGGATTATATTCATTGAAAATTACTACAACATAACCCAACTACAGGGCTTTTCTTTTTTTTTCCTACAAGAGAATCCGCTTTCACCCGTCAAAATAGACAATAAAACAATGGTATTCTCAACTGGCAGTTACTTGCTGATTACAGTAAATCATCACTAACGACACCAAGCAATCGAGCTATAAGATAGAGCTAGGTTTCGACCACTGAGCATCATCAAGGGCACACATGGTTTGGTTTAAGAGTACGCATAAATAAAAGAGAAACATGTAATATATGAAAGCATTTTTTAGATGACCTTGGAAATAATGGAAATCATGACAGTTTCAAGATACACACAGCTTGGTGGGTGCTACCCACTTCGATGCATTGTAGCACAAGCAATCACATTTTTTCCATGCGTAATCGTGATAAGCTTACATCCATGATTGACCATGGTCATTCTCTATACCTGCTTGCCAACATCTCATTAGAAACCTTTCGATTTAAGCTCACTTCCAAACCCTGAAATTCTCGGATAGGGTTCCAACTGGTGGGTCCAAAAAGGTTCATGATATTGGAATGATTGGCAGGGTTTTTTAGCCATTTATTTATTTATTTATTTTTTTTTAGAAAGAAAAAAAGGAGAGGCAGATGTATACAAAGCAAAAAAAAAAAAAAAACAGAAAAGGAGAGGAAAGAAAGCACAGCTTTCTATACATGTAAATAACTTGACAAAAGAATAAGGAACGTATATATATATATATATATATATATATAATGAGGCGGATGTTGGATGCATGTGTAGATGAAATCAAAAAAGAAGCCCAATACACAGTACTGGGCTCCTCAGATGATAGTGGTGTAGTTTGGGGGAGGAAGGAATTTACAGTATGTATAGATATAGACAGAAAGGAGTGGAATAGGGTTCATCATTGATTTACAATAAGAGAGAAGAAGGCTGTGTATGTTGTTGATGGATTAGCATCTGATACAAGTCTTCATTGCTTTGCTGTTCTTGGTAGTGGTGTTGCTGATGGTGATGGGGAACAGTGCTACCGCCTTGCGTTTGAGTATTGGTAGTGGGATAAAAGAAGGGAGCTTGAAGCATCAGGTGAGACATATTAGCCTTAGACAATTGCTGAGGATTGATCATGCCATGAGCAGCAGAAAGTCCGTTGTTACCATGGTACATCATTTGTTGCGCAGCGACAGCTTGAGCAGCAGCAGCAACAGCAGCCAAAGAGGATGGTTCCGGTGTAGCAGAAGGCGACATGGTGAAATCACGACAAAGATCAAGACCAGGAGGAGGTTGATGCAAATCCATCATCATGACATTGGCGTTGGTGGTGGGAGTAACACTAATTTTAGTAGCTAATTCTGGCGCTAATGCGAGCAGGTCTAAAAGCGCCTGCTTGAAAGCTTCATGATTTCCTTGCAAGATATGGAACCCATCAACGCTGGCTTGCTTGTCCTCTGTGAAATCGCCGCAACGCACCCACTGATGATCTTGTCCAAAGCGCCACATGGAGAAGGCCAATGGTAAGCTTAATTCAATGTCCAACTGACCCACAAGTTCACCCGTTTCTACTTGCACTTGTCGACTCAATCTGAGTTGATGAATGCTATCAAAGCCGACTTGAATTCTGAAATGATGTCCCTCTGCTTGTACCCGCCAAACAAGCTCACGATCCAAGGGACTAGCGTAACAAACGAGATCCCAGTCTCTTTGGTGCAGTTGAGGAGAGGCATGAGCAAATCGTGTCCATGAACCAATACGTAGGACGCTAACGGGAAGAGGGACAGTTTGGATCGGAGTGTCTGTGATGAGGCTCATTTGAGATCCACCAGTGGTTGTTGATGTAGCACCACCTTGGACGACTGTACCAGCAGACGTAGGAGACGCAATTGAAGTGCTCGATAATGAAGCACCTGTAGTAGGTGTAGATGTAGATACTATTGCTGTTGCTGCTGAGAATAAGACTATTTATAACACACGTCAATACTTTATATGGTCATTTCACACAAAGCTCTCCTCTTACCATCATGATTGGGTCTTGAAATACCCTCAGACATGGCTCTCATGTTATCACTGCGAGTCAATTCTAATAAATGAGATGATTTAGGCTCAGGCTTTGAGCTTGAACGAGGTCTTTTGCGAATCTGCTGGTGGTCTTGATGTTTCAATTCTTCAAAGCGTTCAGGAGTCATCATGGTGCGAAATGTCGCTTGATAACGAGGAGGCGTGGCATGACGATGAGGATCAACCCAACCGCCACCAGCACCACCAGGTCTAATCACTGCGCTGCTGTTGGACGAAGATGCATTACTGTTACTATTGGATGGAAATGCATCCAGTGCTTCCACTTTTCTGGCCTTAGCACGACGATTTTGAAACCAGATTTGAATTGTTCTTTCCGTAACGGCAAGCTCCCGAGCCAATCGACTACGAACACTTGAGTCTGGAAGAGGATTTGTGTTGAACGATTCCTGAAGAGTGGCCACTTGACTAGGCTTCAAGTGTGTACGCTTTCTTGTGGGTGTAGGTGAAGCTGAATGAGAGTTCATTTTCTATATATATATATATATATGTGTGTGTAAGGTATTGTTGATTTACTGGTATATATACAAATAAGTTTTTATAAAAATAAAAATAAAAAAAAAAGAAGGGAAGTGATCAAAAGACTGAAAAATGGCGTTGTTGTAAAGAAAGAAAGAAAAAAGAAAAAAGTTTAAACAAAAAAATCAAGTGGCCCGTTTTAAAGCAAAGGCGACGTATAAAAAAATAAAGGGGACAATGGTGATAAGATGGTGCGTGTGTAAAAAAAAAAAAAGTGGGTCTATTTAGAGTTGAAATGGACGAGAACTGGTGGAAGTTGCGTTGAACCCCGAAGATATTGGGAGCACAGATTCAATGTGACCCAGATTACAAAAGCAGAAACATCAATTCTCGAATGGCAATTTGGGAAACTTGACGAAAAAGAAAGGGCCCCCCCCTCATCCAATTGAATCACCATTGGATGTGTGTGTGTGCCTAGAACCTCCATTATATTATTTTTAAACAAAAGAAGTTTGCCAAGGTAGATCCCTTTCAATTTCCAGGCGGATCTGTTTAACTCTGTCCAACATCTCATTAGAAACGTCACCAATTAACTAAATTAATTCTCTCAATAACGATCGATGATTGCCTATATATAATAAGGGCCTTTTGGTGTCAAGAGCTTTTTCTTCTTTTTTTTTTTTTTTTTTTTTTTTTCTTTATCCATCCTACCGAAAAATGCCTCCAAAGAAAGGGAAGTCTGTAAGAATTGCTGCCGACGATGAGCACATTCCAGGTAATTTAAAAATGTGTCAAATTGTATGTGCACCCCCCCCTTATTAACATACATGACCACAGATACTACATACACAGATACATTCCCCTTGGTGCTACCACCACCACCTCCTCCCTCTGCTGCTGTTACTACCACGGGTCACATGAACAAGAAGAACGACGACCAGCAACCATTCTACAGCATTGAGATGCAACAAGAGGACAACTTTTTCTATGACAATTCCAACAAGCCATTGCATGATTCATGGTCGTCCAAATCTACCTTGAATCCTCAGAATCCATTTGAGCAAAACATTGTGCTGAGCCGACAGAATACACTCACGGATGAACCCACTGAAATTCACATGGATGAAACTACCAAGATGATACACTCTCTCGAGGTGGATGAGGAAAAGCAGGAAGATCAGGAAGACAAGCTACTGGAATCCGAGAAATCTTCTACTGTTGCTAGTGGCAAGACGGAAATCATGACCAAGGAAACCATCACACCAGCAGCATCCGAAGAGCCTGACAGCGACCGAGAGTTTGACTGGAACGATGATCCGGATCAAGTCAAGCCAAAGCGTAGAAAGACGGCCAGAGAGAGGTTTACTGCCGCCATGCAGAATCCTTGCTGTTGGCATTACCTATCTCCCATCCTCAAGCGCATCATCATTGCTATTCTGGGCTCTTGTATCTTTATCGTGATTGCTATTGTGATTTATGTTACTATGCCAGAACCAACCGAGGCGCAACTGGCCGATCCCAATTTCACTAATGTGCGAAGCAATGTGCAATGTTGGATGTACTGGGCTGCCTTCATGTGGCACATCTTTTGGATTACTACCTTCATGTTGGATATGGTGCCCTCCATTGTTTCTCTCTGGACCAAGCTGTTTAAGGGTAGACGATCTGAAAAAGTAAAGTCGTACATGGAGGTAACTACACACACAGTTCAATGGTTTCTGCTAAGTAAAGAGAAGCTAATTTTAGAACTCTCTCTCTTTTTTTTTTTTTTTTTTTTTTTTTTTTTTTTTTTTTTTTTAGTATTACATGAGTTTAAAGAGTAATTTTTGTTTGCTTTTGCTGGCTGCTTGGAATCTAGGTTCCTGGTCTTTTTTGATTCAAGTGCCATTTGACGCAAGTATCACCAATATGCAGAATCTCGATCGTATTTTTGCCATGCCTATTAACGCTTTGTTTATTTATAGTCCATCAGTAGACACGCTTATTCTGCTGTCGTCACCAAGGTGTATGGTTGCTTGTTGGCTGCTGCTGGTCTCTATTTCATTCAAAAGACAGTGATTCAAATCATTGGTAAGAACTATCGATTTGACATCTATATCGTATCATTTTTTTTAACCGATTTTTATTGTGCTATTTTTAGCTGTCAAATTCCATCGTACCGCTTTTGCGGAGAGATTGCAAGAAAATAAGCAAAGTCTTAAGAGTAAGTTCAACTGCTGTTTGCGTGATGTGGCCAGCTGCTAAATTGCTTGTTTAGTTTTGGATGCGCTCAGTAAATCAGAAAAGAAATCTCGTCCTGGATCCGGTGCTGCTGGCGGATTTTCCAGTAATAATCTTAGAAAACGTAGATCTCCCTTAAACCAAAAGCATGAGAGTCAGCAACCTCATTGGGATCACAGTGCCTCTAGCCACGATGACCAAACACATGGCGGTGTTCGTCCAATGACATTGCATGATGAACCTGTTCCAGAACAACCTAGTTCTTTTGCTCAATTCAAGAAATCAGTGTCTAGCTTTGTGCTGGCCGAAAAACCCAGCGCTACCACGGGCCGTGTGGATAAAAACAAGATGGATATCAATTCCGATGACTATGCTAAAAAGGTTGCCAAGAAATTATTCTATGCACTGGCTTATCCCGAGGGCTACTATGGACAAGAAGAAGACAACAAGAAATGTTTGGATGTGTTTGCATTCATTCCTTATTTCAAGGATCGTGAAGCAGCTGCTGAGGCGTTCAAGGTGTTTGACAAGGACGGAAATGGAGATTTGACCCGAAGAGAGTTCCGTGATACTGTAGTACATATCTACAGGGAGCGCAAGGGCCTCGCACAATCCATTCGTGACACCAGTCAGGCACTTGGCAAGATTGATACGCTTTTACTCATCATTACATGCTTGATTAGTTTGGTCATTTGTTTGGCCATCTTCCATGTGGATTTCTGGAGTGCTTTGGTGCCACTGGGTACCTTGTTGGCTGCTTGTACATTTATCTTTGGTTCGTCTGCTGAAGGTCTCTTTACGGGTATTATGTTCCAATTTGTGACACATCCTTATGATTCCGGCGATCTGGTACAAATCGATTCAACCTACATGACGGTGGAAAACATTGGTATCTTGGGTACCGTGTTCATTGCAGGTGATGGTACAAAATTGTATGCGCCTACCTCTGTGCTGCAAACCAAGATCATCTACAATGTGCGTCGTTCGGGTGGTATGGGCGAATCGCTTACATTCAACATTGACTTTAGAACAGACAACGACCTCATCTTGGTGCTGCGTGAACGTCTGTTGGAATGGGTGCAGTCTCAGAGCCGTGATTTTGGTCCAGGCTTTGATTTACGTGTTACCGATATCAAGGACATGAACCAAGTTATTTTGACAATCTGGTTACCTCATAAGGGTAATTGGGTGGATTTGGGTAAACGTTTCCAAAGAAAGACACGATTCATGTTGGCTCTGAAGGCTATCTTGACGGATTTGGATATCAGGTACGAATTGCCTGCCCAAAGAATTACTTCAAGTGGTCCCGACTCCAACAATCCTTTCACTCATACGGTCAGACCTCAAAATTTCTCTGATCGTCAGTAAATATATATATCTTTTTATTTATCCTGTCTATATAATGTATTCAAAAAAAAAAAAACTCCCCCCAATAGTAAATACCCTCCTGTATCTCCTTTGAATAAATATATAAAAAAAAAATGTAAATTTCCCTACAATCATTATTTTTTAGCATGCCCTGGATCTTGACATTTGAAGTGGGCGGTGGATCAGGAATCAAGACACGTGGTGCTTACGAGGTCTCTCAGCACATTTTACTGCTGATATTTTCAACATGAGTCTTGTCCTGGATAGTGGCTTGATTCTGGAGACAATAACTGCCGTAACCGTAATAGCGAGATCTGTGATGAAACAGTTGATGAAAGCTTTGTGTTGTTGGGTCCCTTGCTTATGCCGCTTTGTAGCAAACGTTTCACAATACTGACATTGACCCTGACCTTTAAAAGTCGTTCTACATTTTCGTTCATTCAGGTGAATTTGACGATCCTGAAACTGCTTTTACCTGTCGTCCTCTCATGCATACTGTATTCAATTTTGACCGACTACTCTTTGTGTTGTATTTCTCGTACATCATTTGCTCAACTTAATTATGAACAAGAGGGATACACGCGCTCAAGCAGACTGCGTTTAGCATTTCTATTGAGATGTTTACAGATGGACATTCTACATATTCCTACATTTCGCTTCTTGTTCAAGTTATCCAAATGTGTTTTTAAGCCATCAATAGATACTTGACATGTTGGCGAGTCTTGCTGTCTGCATGTTTAATTTCTCTCAAGGGTCATTACGCTCGTTGCGTCCACCACCACTGGATCAGAGGCCGTGTCTTTGAGCCCAATCAGCTACTGCTCTCAACAACTACACCAACTGTTGATCTGAAACGATTCCCAAATAGCTTTATAGCAGGTGAGCAACATCCCGACTATGGAAGTAGTTATACAATTTGCCCTTGGTGATGAATTAGATTTTCCCAAGACGCTTGGCAACACATCACGATCGATAGACACAACAACGTACTGGTCGATGACTCGGAAATTTCGACTACCTCACAGTCGACTATCTAATTAGAAGCTTTGTTGCACTGCTCTTGGGCGAGTATGTTGGCCTGTGCACTGGCAAGACATGGAAAACGGCGTTCAACTTGGCACCTGCCCAGAGCAATCTTGCCAGCATTCGCTTATAAGCTATGCGTCAGAAACTATCTAGAAAACATAATACAAAGGATGCCGCGCGTGGACGTATTAGAACGTACAATAAAGGATGTTCAGAAAACATATCCCTTTGAGAGAGGTTGATTATATATATGGATGCTTTTTTTTTTACCTTATTTATCTTTTTACTTTCTAGTTACAAAGTTGTATAAGCTTAACGGTTACTATGCCTTCTCAAATTGAATAAGAAAGTGTTATTTTTGTTGCTGCGTTTACAAGTACCAGCCTTCTTAAGAATAGTCAAACCTGTTTGATAAAATCGCACTTTGTCGTCGCTGTATGGCCTACGGAAAGGAAACACAGTTGTCTTACAGGTTGTGTTAATGCTAGAGATTTCCTTTTAGAACTAATATATACTTACTTTAGGGGGGGCGGTTGTTGCTAAACATATAAACGGATTTTCAGTTGTTGCATTTAGTTTCCGAATAATAAAGCGAGGAAAATGGAGCGAAATCCTTTATTATGTATAAGAGAAAACAGTGTTTCAGCACTACTTTCTGTGCGGCTGCCATTTCATCCTGGTTTCTCTATTAATCAAAATCTTGCTCCCCAGTCTTTGCTCTAGCGAATGAGACCACGTTTTGGCACCTACTTTGATACTTCCTTTCAAAAATTGGCTTTTCAACCCCTCCCCAAATTAGAGTGTGCACTGACAAAAACGCATTCTGAGCAAAATTATAAAAGAAACGTATATGTAGAGTTGATGATTATTACATTATGAAAGATCTTAGGTAGAGCAGCTGTCAAATGGTCTTTGTCTTATGCAAATACGATGGCTCCTTTCCGAGAGAAGACGAAACATGTCGCTGTGCAAAATCATTGATTTTGGGCCAAAATTTGCCTGTGGCAACTGGCAAAAGTTTCAGCGATAGATTTTTTGAAGGGAAAAGATTGTTAATATTTCATGAAAGGATTATGCTAGAGCTTTAAGACATGGCTTGTTTGAAAGAATTTGTTTTGCTATACATTATAATATGTGCTGCAAGTAAAAGTTTGATGACAAAAACTTCATAATCTGTCAAAAACAACCAAAAAGAAAAACGCAAAAACTACTCTATCAAGAATCAGGTTGATAGGTTAGGCTAATCCATTCAAAAGCAATATCATTAGATTTTCTTCTAAATTCTATTCCCAAGTTTGATTTATCTGGAAAGTAGTTTTATCACCAGAATCGCTTGAATTGAGGGCAAACGATTCCAGAAGTCCATAATGATTCCTCATTCAGAGCCATATGAAAATTGGGCTATTCATATTTGAAATTGCGCCGCTTTAGTAGGTGATTCTGTTGAGACACAATGATTCCTACCTTTGTTAAATATAGCCTCTTAATTTCAAGTCGCAAATCGATAGGTAAGGGGTTGGCGAATCTTTTAATGAATATCGGTAACTCATATTCTGCTTTGCTATCTTGTAGCAAGCGGTCAAATCTCTAGTGTCTACTTTATACTATATTGATACCAGTGGCGGCTTTTACCCTCAGTTTAATATCAGCCTTTCCTCCCTTTTTTTATTCCATTTTGCAAGCATTTACTCATAAATACGCTACTTTTATTGACTGAAACGCAGGAAGTATGATCGACAACAACTGTGCAATAGCATGACTAAACTTGATGACTGGAACTTGATGACTAATTATTATCAATTAGTTTCTTTGACTCCTGAGAACCAAGGTGGTGGTGGACATAGACATAACACTTGAGTCACATCATCACAGATCCAGGAACATGATCTTGGCTCTGTTCATGACAGAAACTCACTTTCAGGGACAAAAGGTCATAGGCTACCACAGCTCAGGAACCAGAATATACCGTAGATTAGCCATTTGGTGGCCCTACTCATGTTCATTTGTACTGCATATAATGTACTCCAATGTTCGATTCAGTCAACAATGTTGAATGACACGGTTTGAGAAGTTATCATATGATGCATTTCACAATATTATTTATGTTCTGATACTATAGTATGTTCTGCACATACATATCTCACCATAAATTCCTATATGAACAACTTTGTTATAGATATCCATGTTAATTCTTTCATATATATATATACGTAGGTCGTCACATAAATACAGACATAAAGCTTGAGATACTGAGAGGCACTTGTAATCAATCCCACGGCAGACTAACTCACAGTTTACACGGACGGTAAAACCTCCCAAGCCGACAACCAGCTGAAAGACTATTATTGAAATAGTTCCACCAACAGCTTTATTAATACAGTAATAACGGACTACAATTTAGGCTTTACACTCGATGCGAATAAGTCATTGCTTATATTTATTTTAAAAAATCCGAAAGAACCTAATAACTGTCTAAATGCGTGAAAAGCATCATACATCTCATTAATTGACCAAATTAAAAATTTTACATAAGCTTATTACAAAATCAAGGCAATCGACAAACCGAATCTCGTCTTTCAGAAAGGCAAACTGGTGGTACAGTAAACTGCCACCACAGAGCAGGTGCCAGAGAAAGTATGAACTGCAAGACAATGAATCTGTCCCCATCTACAATGAGCACTACGATTAAGAGAACAGGCTTTAATGATGCCAGATTACTTTTAAAACGTTTTGGAGCTCCATTGAAGAGGGAGATTAGTCCCAGAGAGACGGCTCGTACGACAGCTTCGTCCTGCCCCATTGTTACCAGTACAGAACCATTCCAAGACAAGCTTGGATACCAATCTATCAATTTCAGTTGAAACTTTCAAGAAGTATATGAAACTAATTGGCTATTAATTTTACAAGGCTGCACACAGGCCAGCATTGGCGCCTAAAGACAAGCAGAAAAAAAAAACTGCCTTGGTGTTTGGACAACGTTGGATGGGGGATACATCAGTGGAAGAAGGTTATTTGGTCCGACGAGTCCAAATTCATGGTTGTCGGCACACATGGTCATCATCATTATCAGCATTAGAAAGACAATTGCTCCAGTCAGCAGCAGCATCGCACCCCGTTGCTGCCACCAAAACTCATTCAAACTCAGTTGATTCATTCTGATCAATATTGGCCAAATTTCGTCTTTTGTGGACTTCTTTAACTATTTTGTGATATTTGACTATACAAATGGTGATTACCATCTGATGCTTCCTAATACAATCTTGGAATGTTCTTTAAGGCGCTTCTAATGATGCCAAGTAAAATAGATGTTTTAACTGAACTTATTGAGCAATTTGGTAGAATATAATATACGGTTTTTGGCCAAAATGTCAAAACCTTGCATATAAAAACCTCATAAAAGCAATTCCAGAAGTTGCTTTCGGTTGAGGGAAACATTTTGATGTCATATATACCATAGTAAAATCCTTCATCTTCAAGGCAAAAAACGCGATCATTTAATTTTCAATGAAAACCATGAGGGGTACCTCATGGTTTGAAGTCGATTTTTGTCCATAATTTTTTGGTCCCCAAAAAGTTGAGCAACAGTGGCAATAAGTAATTGCCAGATGAGAGCAATTGTTTGGTGCTATTCTGACCATTTAAAACGGTCTTGAAGGCGAGAAAACGCGGCTTAAATGCATTATTCAAATCTTGCTCTATCATGGACACTAAGGAATAAAAAGGGGATGTACAAGTATACTGCTTGCCCGTATGTGAAGTAGCTACGTGTACAATAGTATAGACCTAGGAATCCTGTGACGCATTTCCAATCAGCCTTCGCGGCACTGCGACGACTCTCAGTAAAGAGACACAATAGAAAGTAGATGATAGAAAGCCAACTGAGGGACTATCATCATTGAAACAACAACAGTAAATTGACTTACAATAATAGCAAACCATCGCTCCATCTATTTCTAAAATATCTATACACATCA